AAGGTGGGGGGGGCAGTGCGCCTTCATCACTCTTCACTCTTCCCTTTCTCCCCACAGACAAGCTGTGGTTCTGCTGCTTGTCCCCCAACCACAAGGTGCTGCAGTATGGGGATGTGGAGGAGGGCGCGAGTCCACCGCCCACCGAGAGCCTGCCTGAGCAGCGTAAGGGGCAGGGGCAGGGCAGAAGTCAGACATCTGTCTCCCAAATGACCCTTACCCCGGGGCCACCTGGGTCCTAGTGGTCAGCACAGCCTTCTTCCTGCAGTCCCTGTGGCCAACATCCGGGCGCTCCTGACAGGCAGGGACTGCCCTCACGTCCGGGAGAAAGGCTCCGGGAAGCAGAACAAGGTGAGTGCAGTGGGGGTCAGAGCTCCTTCCTGTCTGCCCCTGCCCTACCTGCTCCTTGCTAGTGCTCCTGCCCCCTGCTTCCCCAGGACCTCTGTGAGTTAGCTTTCTCAGTCAGCTATGACCATGGGGAGCAGGAGGCACACCTCAACTTCATCGCCCCCTCCAAGCGGGAGGTGAGTGCTGGGCCAGGCCGAACCGAGTTGGGCAGGGAGGCAGACGGGCAGGGGCAGGCCCTCAGAGCTGGCCCTGTCCCCAGTTCCACCTGTGGACAGATGGGCTGAGTGCCCTGCTGGGCAGCCCCATGGGCAGTGAGCAGACACGGCTGGATCTCGAGCTGCTGCTGACCATGGAGACCAAGCTGCGGTTGTTGGAGCTGGAGAACGTGCCCATCCCTGAGCAGCCGCCCCCCGTGCCCCCACCCCCCACCAACTTCAACTTCTGCTACGACTGCAGCATCATTGAACCTTGACGGGGCCTCGGAGTATGGGAAGTGGAGAAGCACAGACACCCCTACCCAGCAGAGATTGCAGCAGAAATAAAGCTGGCTTGGCTCTTGAGTCTGTGTGTCGAGCCAGCTCTGAACCTTGTGGGCCAAGCCTGCCTTAGTGACAGCCAGTCTTCTCTTTCTGCCTTCACACTTAGCTGGTGAATGAGATGGGACATCAGGCCAGGGCCACAGGGCCACAGCTTGGGGTACAACCTGGCAGTGACAGCTGGTGTTTTGCGGGGCAGTGGGAAGAGGCTAGTCTTGGCTGAGAGTCAACCCAGAGTGCACCGGCTTTGAGGCCACACGGGGCACCTGTAGGGCTCTCGGCCGGTCAGGAGGAAGACGGTGCCTCTGGTGTTTTCTCCACACTGTTCTGGGCTGGGCCTCTTCAGCTGAGCTGGGGGAGGTGCCCTTCAGTCTGAGAACTTAGGACAAGGAGGTAAGATATGGAATTTTTAATCTTGTTTGGGTTTACAACAAAGACTGACTTGGCTGCTAAAGCTCAGTGCTTGCAGGGGATAAGGTGGGGCGCAGGCCTCAGGTTTGAGAAGAGGGCAGGGCAAGAGGCAGAGAGTCTGTTCCTCCCCAGCACCAGATTCAGCCCACTTGGAGGCCTGGCCAAGTAAAGCAGGAGCTGTCCTTTCTAGGGGCCACTGGCAGCAGCATGTAGCTGGAAAGACGCCGCTCCTGGCTGTGGAGTAGACTGGGGCAGGAAGCCCCCTGGCCTGCCCTGGATTGGTCCCACCCCTAGTCCTAGAAAAGGGGTTTACAGCTTGGGAAAGGGGCTCTGGGGTATGCAGCAGAGGGGGGCAGCGAGCACTGCATCAGATTCCAGATCAAGAGGCCAGGGCTGGGAACTCTGCAGGGGTTAAGGGGTTCAAACTTTGGGGCTGGCTGCTGACCTGGCCTCACAGCGTTAGGGTCAGGTCAGCCCCTCCCACGAAGCGGGACTGGATGCAGGTCACCTGGGGCAGTTGGGCTTGGAAGTGCCTGATGGCAGCCATGCTGATGCCAGGACACATGGCTACATCCAAGACCCGGAGTTGCTTGCACGCCTGCCCAATGGTGTCCAGGGTTCTGCAGGGAGGCCACTGGGTGAGTGCCTGCCTAGAGTGGGCCCAGCGCAGCCCTGCCCTGGGCTCCCTCTGCTCAGCATCAGTGGGTGGACACTTACTGCTCGGTGAGCTGACTGCAGCTGGACAGGTTGAGGTGCTGCAGCCTCGGCCAGGAGCTGGCTGCCTGGGCCCAGCCCTCATCACTGAGGAGGCTACAGTGACTCAGCACCAAGTGCTCCAGGCTGGGGCAGCCCCTGGCCACAGCCACTAGGCCTGTGTCTGTGAATGCTGGCAACAGGCTCAGTGACAATCTCCTTAGCTGGGGGAACTGCAGCACCTGCAAGGATGGGGGCATGGGGTGGCTGCAGCATGGCTCTGAGCCCGGGGCCTGTTCCCACATCCCCAGCCAGGGGAGTGGCCGTGGGCAGCAGGAGCCAATGAGAAAGGAAATCCCCATTTTTCTACGCAAAAAGTAGATGGGCCCAGGCGCCTGGCTCCAGTCCCAGGGTCCTCAGCCTGTCCAGGCCTCAGCCCCACACCTTGGCCAGGCTGGCATCAGTCAGCTTGCTGCAGGCTGTGAGGTCCAGCTCCTGTAAGGTCCGCAGCATGAGCAGGGAGGGTCCCTGTGGCTTGGGAGAGAGCTCCTTGGGGCCCATGGCCTGATGCTCCAGCTCTAGACGTGGCTATGGGAAGAAGGAGCCCGTTTCTCAGGTTCCTCCTGAGTATGGCCTCTAAGTGCTCCTAGGGAGGGGCTTGGGAGGGGCAGGGGGGCAGCTGAGCCCAGGGGCCGCCCCCCCGCCCCCATGACCTCGAGAGTCCCGCACCTGGATCCCCTGCGCAGGTGCCTCACTTGGCTCTCCCAGTCCCAGGAGCCCCCAGTCACGGAGCTCCTTGCACCATGCCAGGCGCAGAATGGAGAGGTGGGTGAGGTAGGTGCAGATGGCCTGCACACTCCGGTTGGTGAGGACCACACAGGAGGATAAGTCTAGCACCCTGAGGTTAGGGCCCAGTTCTGGGATCAGGGAGAGCACTGAGGCATCCTAGGAGGGAAGGGGAGGAGAAGTGATGGAGCGGTGGCTGTGCCTGTGCCGCCAGGGCCAGGAGTCACTAGGAAGGTTTCCCACCCCCACAGGCAATATAGAGCACTAACAAAAGAGTCCAAGGAGGGAAGCTGCATGGTCCCTGGAGGGCAAGGAAGGAATAGACAGGGCAAGGCCTGGCAGTGGGAGGCTGCTGGAGGACAAAGGTCTAGACCATTGCTGGAGCAGGAAGGATGTAGGCGGAAGTCTCTAGGGTCTTGCCCTGCCCTGCCCATGTTCCCAGCCCCTGCTGAAGGAGTGCTGAGGCAGCCTTCTGACATTGGACCAGGGGTAGACATCTGACCCAAGCTGAGCCAATCAGATATGTTCCCTAGAGAACTTGAACCAGAACTGCAGCTGAGAGAAGCCTGGTGGGAAAGGGAACATGGAGTGGGGGAGGGGGAGCGGCCCTTGTGGGGAAACAAGGTTGAGAGAATTTTTTTTAAGTTGGGAGAGTCCTGGTCCCACTGATAGGTTGAAGGGATAATCCACTAAAGAGGAAGAGACACATTGCCAAGACAGGAACACCACCCATAGGGACAGGCTGAGCTATTGAAGGGACTGGCTTCAGCCAGGAAATGACCCTGTTGTTCCCACATCACATTACCTCCCTCAGTCCTGCCAGCAGCTCCCTCTTTTGTGGAACCTCCGTGCCCTTCACCACAGGATTTGGTTCTATCACCCTTTTCACCAGCCCTCCCTGCCTCCAGAACACGGGCTCTCAAGGGGCTTCCCTCAGAGCCCCTCCCCGGTCACTGAGCACTTGGCATGTGAGGCCTTGTGCCAGCTTGTGACTGGGCCACCCTTTACCTGGGCCACAATGGGGGCTGCAGGGAGGAGAGCTGGCAGCAGCACTGTCTGTCTAGGCCCCCTTCCCCTTCCAGATGGTGTCCCAAGTCCCGTTCTCCCTACTATTCCTTGGACACAAACATGGTAGCTCCTCCCTGGCGACACACACTGAGGTCCCCTAGCCCCTGGCCCTGGCAAGGAAGGAATGGGGTGGTATGCTCACCTTGAGTGAGGAGCAGTAGGCCAGGCTGAGGGAGGCCAGTGGGGGTGGGGCTCTGCAGGCCGAGCCCAAGGCCTGGGCCAGTTCCCGCCCGCTCACCAGGCAGCACTCGGCCATGTCGAGGCTCCGCAGCTCCTGCAGGCCCCCTAGGGCCTTACATCCCGCGTCTGTCAGCCGCTGCAGCTTCCTCAGGCTCAGGCGCCGCAGGTGCTGCAGGCCAAGGCTCACGGCCAAGAGTGCCCCGTCAGCCAGTTCTGAGCAGCCGCTGAGGTCCAGAGAGGTAAGGCCTGGTTGCTGGCGGCAGAGGGCGGCCACAGACTCTGTGGACAGGTCCCGGCAGCTGTGCAGGCTCAGCTCCTGCAGCTGCAGCCCGGCCACCTGGCCCAGGGCCTGCAGGGCCTCAGGTAGCAGGCCAGTGCCGCTCAGGTCTAGGGCGCGCAGCCTACCAGCCCGCTCCTTCACAAATCGCAGCAGGTTTTGGAAGGAGAAGAGGGTGGGGCAGGAATCCTGGGGGCCCATGGAGCCTTGGGCTGGGCCGAACTCGAAGGTGAGGTGGCAGTAGGCCAAGGAGAGGCGCTCCAGGCTGGGGGCACAGCTGCTGAGCCGGTTAAAGCTGAGGTCGGCCAGGTCCCGCAAGCCAGCCAGGTTGAGCTCCTGGAGGCCGTGCAACACCTTCCGGACCCGCTGTGCCATCTCAGGCTGCGCCAGCAGCGTGCCTGAGGTGAAGAGGCTGTTGCAGCCACTAAGGTCAAGGGTACGCAGGGCCGGGCAGCCCAGGATCAGGGCCATGAAGGAGGCCTCTGTGGGGCTGCCCCCACTTAGGCACAAGCTCTGCAGGTGTGGGCCCAGGTGGTAGGCAACAGACTGCAGCACCTGGTGTGAAGCTGGCGAGCCATCCACATTGGTCAGGCTGATACAGGAGATTCCTCGGAGCCCCAGGCTCTTGATGGCTGGGAGGGAGGCTGAGGACACGGGGATGTTGTACCGCACATTTGTCTAAGGAGCAGCAGCGGGCCTGGGGTTAGCCCTGGCTTCAGAGGGAACTGGGCACTGGGTATGGTGGTTAGAGTGGCAGGCCAGGGATTGGGGGCAGGTCAGGGAAGGGCCCTTCGACAGTAGGTACCCACCTCGGTGTGAGGTGTTATGTGGTTGAGGGGGGTGTGGGTGGGAAGTGGGAGTTGGGAAGAAGTAGGGGCCCAAAGGGAGATGACTGTCTCAGGGGAGGACAGGAAGGTTAGTGATGGACAGGACTGGATGCCTAGGAAGGGGCAGGGACAGGGTTGAGAGTCGAGATGAGCACCGGGGTGGAAGGTATGACTTGGAGGAGGCCCAACAAAGCCCCCAGGGTTGGGAAGAGGATGAGAGAGCAAAGTATGCTGGACCTCAGCTTTCAGAAGGAGGCCCTGAGACCCATGAGACAGACAGTATTTACCACAACCCCTTGTGGCCCAAGCGCCAGGGGTTTGGGGGCAGGCAGTGAGGCCTGGGTCCCCTGGTAGCTTCCGAGTGTGTCTGAGCCACATAAATCTTTACACAAGTTTTGTGTGTAAGTGAAAGTGTGCATACATGCCTATGTGTGTGTGAACTAATACTCGCGGGGACTCCTGGCATTGGGCCTCGGATGCTTCAGACTTCGAGCGGTCCTTGTGAGCCCCACGGTGCATCTATGGAAGAGACATCTGTCTGTCCAGGTAAGAAAGGAGAAGCCTCCCACTTCTGTCAGCAGGAGCTACTAAAACAAATCTCAGGATTCCAGGGAAGGTGAGCACTCAGTAAGCAGGTGGGAGCTGGTAGGTGAGCTCAGGGCTAAGTCCTTGTGGGAATAAACTGCTTATGTAGGAGTTTGGGGAGCCCCCAGCTGAGAGGAGGTTTTCACAGAACCTTCCCTGATCTTGTGCCAGAGGGAGCCAAAGGCAAGTTGGTACAATTTGTGTTGGGGAGGGAGAGGAAAAGAGCTTGGCTTCTAAAGCCCTAGCCCTGTTTCTCTACCCCTAGCAGATGCCTGGGTTGCAGGGAAGTGGTACTCAAAGAAGACTCTCATTTTAATGTATCAAAATGATCCCAATTCAGCAAACAAGCTCCCTAGAAAACCTATCCTGATGTTCCCCGCTTGGACACCACAGAACATCATCAAAGGGAATGAGAAAGGTCAAAATGACATGCAATCTGTGCTCCTGCCAAGATACTTATCAACAGGATTCTCCCAGGAAGGCAGATGGAACTCATTCTACAGGTGTGAAGAAGCCAGTCCAGCTTCTGCTGGAGAGAAGCAGCCAACCATGCCTGTCCTCATGGGAGGGAGAGGGTGGCAAGACGGGGGGGCCATCCCCTGGCCTCTTCCATAGGAGTCAGGGGTCACTGGGCTCCCTTTCCAGATCCCATTTCAGGAAGGGGGCACTGTGGGTGAGGAGCATGCTCCGTGGATCCCCTCATGGGCAGTGGGTCGGGGAGGGGAAGATAGTGGGCAGCGAGGACTCCCAAGGGTCTGGGTCCATCTCTCAGATTTGAGGAGAGATGGGGAAGATCCCAGTGTGTGAGGTGAGGAGGGAGATGGAAAAGATCAGAGAGGAAAGGTTTGAGATAGAAAAGGCAAAACATGCCTCCAGCCACCTTAAAGCCTGCTTGACAGATGATTCAACTTGATGAACAGAGTAAACCGCGGTGGGGGAGTGGGAAGGGGGGCTGGTTGCTGAGGCAGCGGGCCTCGTCCTGCCGCCCCCACCAGTCACATGCCACAGCAGAGCCCTGCACAGAGTGCCTGCGAGGCCCTGCAGGCACCAACCCCAGCAGCAGGCGCCATCTTCCTTCTGTCTCCTGCCTGGCCCTTGGCACTAGAAATGCTCTCCCCTCTCTCTGCCTCCCTATGGACAAGACAGATACAGACAAGGCACTGGCAGTCACCTCCAGTCCCACATCTAGGGCTAGATGGTGGCAGCAAAAGTGGCAGAGCCTGGCCTGAAGAACTTCCAGCTCTTGAGGGGGTTTGAGACCACCTCTCCCCTGCTCTCTCTAGCCCCCTTTTGTTCTTTTCTTGGTAGAGAGTGGGCAGCCTCTAAGACATCACCCAGGGGGTTTACCTGTTCCTGAGTTAGCTGTACTCAGGCTGCAAGAGCCCAGGAGCAGCCGTGTAGGGATAGTTATCATCTGGGGGGCAGAGCAGCAAGCAGAAACAGCAGGGCTCCTGGATTCTGGTCTTTGGCCCCAGTGTAGGCAACACCCCCTTCCTGGGCCCTAGATGCTTCTAGAGGCCCAAATGAGGATGGCAAGGACACCTGCTCCAGCTTCAGCTGCCTCATCCACAGAGAGGCCAGCTAGCCCCTGGTCTCCTCCTTTCCCAGTGCTGGCATCTTACAGTGAATGCAAAATCATTTGGATGATTTAGCCCTGAACCTGCTAAAACTCACACATACCCCTTGACTGTGAGAGGCCAGGGCTTTGTCATACCTAGTGAAGCCCCAAGCTGAGACTGCAGGAAAAAAGAACCATCTGAAAGAGAAAATGGCCCCCATCTGCCCAGTTGTTATTAGGTGCCATTGAGTTGATTTCAACTCATAGCGACCCCATGTGACAGAGTAGAACTTCCCCATAGGGTTTCCTAGACTATAATCTTTATGGGAACAGATCACCAATTCTTTTCTCCCATGCAGCCTCTGGTGGGTTTGAACCACAGACCTTACAGTTAGCAGCTAAGCACTTAATCATTGAGCCACCTGGGCTCCTTGTCTGCCTGGTACAAGAATTCAAAGCTAGCATGCCTGCTATCCTCCAGAAGGCTGCCAGGGGCTTTAGCCTCTAGAGAGGAGTTAGGCTTGGGGCCTTTACAAACACCCTAGGCAGGAGAAGAAGCCAGAGGGCACAGCTGGCTGGCCTGGGTTCTTGTCTCACAATGACCAACCCAGCAGCAGGCAACCAGGGCTCCCCTGACCCCCAACCCCAAACAGGGAGAGCCTGAGTGTGTGTGTGTGTGTGTGTGTGTGTGTGTGTGTAAGGAGGGGTGCTGCCTTTGTCTGCCTTCTTATTTGAGGAAAATTGGGATTAAGTGAACTGTGGGGACAGGTCAGAGGAGTAAGAAGTTACCATCCCCAATGTGCCTCACAGACTTCAAATGCAGCACCCTAACCCCTTTTGGCTTGTGCATATCTCCCTCTAGTTCACACAAACTCTTTGGGAGTCATGTTTCCCTTAACCTTGCACCCCCACGGCCCAGGACAGTGTCAGGCACAGAGCAGGCAGCATAAACATCTGAATGAGATGGGCTTCCTTCAGCGTCGCCCGCAGCCGCTCCATGTGTCCCTGGTAATTTTCCACCCTCCTTCTGCCCTGTGACTATTCCAAACCTCTCTGAGTGAAGCCTTGGTCTCCATCTCTTCTCACTCTCAGTGGACAACTTGGCCTCGAAGTTCACAGAGCAAGAGGCCAGCAGGCAGGAACTTCCTCAGCAAACATCTCCACATTTCCAGCCTACCTTCTGATTCCTCAATAGAGGCAACATCCTCCCGTCTAAGACCAAGCCTTGTATGTTGGAGCGTGTCTCTGCCACCACCCTGGAACCTTGCATCCATCTTTCCTGACCTCTTTCCTACCTCTACGCACCACTCCTCGAGTGACTCACTCCCCTCAGCATGTAAACACATTTGGCTTTTCTCTCAATTAAAATCTCTTTGTCTTAGGTTAATGGGGGAGAAGGTTAATGGGGGAGAACAACTCAGAAAGGGACGGTGAGAATGGTTGCACAACTCGAAGAATGTAATCAATGTCACTGAATTGGACATGTAGAAAGTGCTGGCGTATGTTCTGCTGTATATATTCTCAACAATAGCAAAAATAAAATAAGCTATTAGAAAAACAAACCCTTTGTCAAGTCCACCTCTACCTCTCATTACTTCCTGTTTATTTCCTTCCTTTCACAATGAAACATCTCACAAGTGAGGTCACTCTCTATACTTCCTTTCTTCCTTCATTCACTCCTCAACCCACCTGCCCTCATTCACTCCTCAACCCACCTGGCTTTTGTTGCCAGGTGCCAAACGTCGATGAAGCCACTGGGGACCTCTCTGAATGTCAAATATAACGGGCATTATTTGTTTTCCATTTTGCTTGACTCTGTGGGATTTGACACTGTTAGTCATCCACTTGACCCTTTAACTACTCTGTGCTTTTGACCTCTGTGCTCTCCTCTTCTGGAATCTCCTCAGCCCCTCTGGAGGTTTCTCCTCCCTTCCATGCCCTCAGACGGGCATCCTCACCTGGGGCATTCTCTGTGGCTGGCTGTTCCTGTGGCTCTTCATGCTTTTCCTGGGGGAGCTTATTCAGATTTGTGGTCTCAACTTCTACCCATTCTTTAATAACACCCAAATCTATATTTATTATCAGACGCTTCTCTTGAATATCTGACCCAGAAATCCAACTACCAACTGGACCTCACCATCTAGATGCTTCCCACTTCAAATTTTCAACATATCCCAAATCAACTTCCTCTAGAGAGTAAAAGATCAATGACATTGGATGGGTACCTCAGCAAGAGACCCTATTTATATATACACATTTAATACATGACAAAAGAGGAATTCCAACCTGGGGGGAAGGGAATGATTATACATAACAGTGTTTGGGCTATCTGAAGAATAATCAATTTAGCTCCTTACCTCACAACATAAATCCAAATAACTTTTACTAATAAAAATTAATTTGAAAAATTAAACCATGAAACAGAAGGAAAATATGAGTGTATATTTATCAAATCTCTGAAAAGGCAAGGGACTACTAAGTTTAAAAAACAATGGAAGAAATAAGAAAGAAAAAGATGTTCAGAATCAATAACATAAAAGTTAACTTCTGTATCTCATAAATACAGACTTACCCATCAAATTAAAAGGTAAACATACTAGGAATATACTTCAATACATATGCCAAGAATTAATATCTTTAATGTATAATAAGTCCATACAAATTGATATGAAAAGTACAAAGACCCCAATAGTGGATAAAGAACATGAACAAACAAAAGAGCGAAAAACAAATGGACAGCTAATGAGAAAAACTTCAACTTCAGCAACAACCAAAGAAAGAAAAATGAAAACAATGAGCTATCATTGCTTGCCTTTCAAACTACCAAAGGTGTCTGCATTCAGCTCCTAGCTGGGCTGTCTTCCTACACTCAGTCAGTCCCTCTCCAGTCCACTCTGCACTGCGGAGTTCTGAAACACGAATCACACTGTGTCACTCCCTTGCTACAAATCCTGTAAAGGCTCCACAGTGGCCACTGGGAGAAAGCCCAAGCATTGCCATCTGGCACACGGGCCAGTTTGCAGTCTAAACTTCTCCAGTTCATCTCCTATCACTTTTCCCTCGTACATCTAAGTTCCTCTCCTATGGAACTTCTTGTGTGGTCACTTGCAGAATGATTCCACATCTTGGTGCCTTCACCTGTGCTGTTACGAGTCCTGGAAGACCAACCTTCACCCACATCCTATCCCTTCAGGCAGCCTTCCCTGATCCTGCATTTCCTTTGACATCCTTCTTCATGTTCCCACTGTACCCTTTCATTCTGGTGTAAGAGCTCTGAGCACATGATACTGTGATCATTCGCATACTTGTCTTCTACTTCACTGGACTCTGAGCTCCTTGGGAGAGGGAAATATATGTCTTATTTATCCAGGTAGTCCTAGCACCATACCCAGAGCTGAGCAGGTACTAAGTAAGTGTTGGCTGAACAAATGAATGAATGGGTGGATGGATGATGTACGTGCAGGACCATGAACAAGCTGAAGTGAGAGAGAATCGAGAACAGGCCAGGTGAGGGTGGGCACCTTACCTCCCGAAGGGCATTCTGGGCTGCACAGTACCAAGCCCGACTCACGAGGGAGGCCTCTTTCTGATCTGACAGAGGCAGGAAGCTCAGAATATATGTGAGCATCTGAGGGAAAAAGACAGGGCATTGGGGGCTGTTAGCATCGGGGGCCTTTGGAGCCTACTAAAGCTGATAGCATTGTGGGTCTGGGCAAACTAGAGCACTGGCTTCCAGTTCTTGGATCCTAAGCTGAACAGAGTATGCACTTCTCTCCAGCTCTCAGGTAGCTTTACTGTGAACAAACCTTTCCTGAGTTCAGCCTGGGTGCAGGTCTGCACAACTGATAAAAATCAAACATCCTGCCCAGTTTGGTAGAAAAAGCCTGGGCACTGAGGCCAGATAAACCTAGTTCAAATCCTTACTCTGTCAACTGATCTCTCTGAGCTTTGTTTTCCTTATTCGTAAAATGGCAATTGTAATGAGATTTAAATGGTTGCTATAAAAATTAAAAAATGTATTAAAGTGTCTTGAATAGTATCTAAAAAACCCAAACCAAACCCGCTGCCATTGAGTCGACTCTGACTTATAGCGACAGAGTAGAACTGCCCCATAGAATTTCCAAGGAGTGGCTGGTAGATTCAAACTGCCAACCTTTTGGTTAGCAGCTGAGCTCTTAACCACTATGCCACCAGGGCTCCAATGATAACATTAGTATCTAGAACACAGCAAATACCCAGTTAATATTGTTTAGTTCCTCTAAACCTTTCTCCTTTCACAATCTAGGTGGGTGATCCATCACAGCTATAACAAGAGAAGTTAACTCAGATTCTTCCCATGTCCCAGTCAGATGTCCCAGCCCCTCCTCTGATCCTCAGGAAGCCATACTGCTTCCTTCTGGCCTCACAGATTAGGTTCTGGGACACTGTTCTTTTCCCATCTTCTTTACTGCCAACTTGCCTTCTTAGCTGGTTGTTAAGATATAATCCCAGCAAGAGCCTGCCTGGGAGGCTCAGGCCCTTGTTTAACCTATACTATATGAGGCTGCAAGATGGTGATGTTGCAGGCTGGGAAGGGAGTTGCCTGTGAGGCCAGGAATGATTTGATACTAACTATTCTTTTCTTCTGGAATCTTCCCTCCTTGGCTCCTGTGACATTGTATTTTCTAGAGCTCTACCTAGCACTCCAATTGCCCTGTTTCTGGATTCTTCTGTGGCTCTCAGGGCTCAGATCTCGGTCTTTTGATCTTTTGTTCACTTCTTAGGCTAATAAAATCACTTGTATGGTTTCAACAGTTATTCTAAAGAAATAACCAACAATTCAAAATCCCCATATTGTCCGACCATTCAGTGCTAGTCCAGAATGCCAACTGTCCACTGGATCCTTCATCATCACCTTAATCTCAACACATCCAAATCTAAATAAATAATCTGCTCCCAGTCCAAAACAGTTCCTTTTCCCAACTTTCACCTCCAATGCCAACACACTGCACCCCACCTGAAAATCCTGACAAGAGTTTGGGCTCTTCATGCTCTTCTGTCCTTTACTCTCAGACACAGGTGTAAAGCATAGCCTTTAGGTCAGGCTAACTTAGACGCCTTCAAATCCCAGCTCCACTACTACCTAGCTATGTTTTCTGTGACCTTGGGAAAGATACTTGACCTCTCTGAGCCTCATTTTGCACATTTGAGTAACAGGGATATTAGAACTCTAGAGTAGTCTTACGGGGATTAAACCAGATAATATATATACAAAGTGCTTGACACCTAGTAGATGTTCCATAAATGGTTGCTATTGCTTAGCCACCTTAGCCCAGATCTTCATCAACCCACTACTGGATTCCTTCCATAATCCTCACCTGAACTCCCTGACTCCAGGCTCATCCATGCTAAATCATTTTGCACACCTGTCACAAGATTAATTTCATAAAACACAGTTTTGAGCCCCAGCACACCTCTAATGAAAACCTTCAGGGTTCCCTAGTATCCGCAGTACGAAATTTCCACTCCTGGATTGGAATTTCCAGGCGTCCACCCTTAACTGGATCCAATGACCCCAAACCATGTCCTACAAACACAGCATGTCTATTGCCTTTTGCTTATGTGGGCCTCTGCCCTTCCTTAAGCCTGACCTCATCAGCCCATTCTAATTTCTCCTTCTCTTCTCTGATCCTGCACACACAGGAGGTGCTCAGGCAATACTTACTGGATCGAATTAAGGATGGACAAGGACCAAGTCCTCTATTTTCACCAAAGGTTTGCTCATACAAGGGGTGGGGAGATAAAGCAGATCATTACTGAGAGAACAAAGACTGAGGGGAATACCCTTAGGGGCTGGGGAGGCTAGGCAAGGGGAAGAGAGCATCGATGGGGACTGGGACTGTCCAAGCCTCCATCTCCAGCGGGAGGTAGGGCAGCATGTCTGAGCTGAGGTAAGATAGTGGCCAGTCTGTCTCCTGAGGCTGAGCAGCCAACACGAGGAGCAAAGGAAGACAGCAGGCCTGTCCTCACTGAGGGGAAGGAGCACCACACCTTGAGCTGAGATGGGGGGTGGCCTTTCTAAAGGGGCCAGAGGAGGCAGCAATAAGGATGGAGAGGCCATCCCATGAACCCATCCCAAGGAGTCACAAAAGATATGACTGGTCATCCCTGGGGCCTATTGGTAATAGAGCAGCTATCCTCTGGTGGCAAGGGGAAAAGGGATGTCATCCCAGGGGGCTGAACAAGGTGACAGCAGGCCTCTTCTTTCTACAGGTAGGGAGCACCATTCCAAGACTGATGGGAAAGGGTAGTCTGTTTCTCTTGGAAAGGGGGAGAGGGCTACCAAACCTCATGGCAAAAGGGATGGAGAGGTCATTTCAAGAGGTCACTGGGACAAAACCTGTTACCTCTCCCGCCTAAGGGAGTGGAGCGGTCTTGCCTCAGGCTAACGGATCAGACATCCCATGGGGCCAAAGGAGTAGGGAACAGGACTGTCCTTACTGAAGGAACTCAGCGACCATACCTGGAATTGACAGGGAGGGGGCAGTCTGTCTCCCACCGCCGGGAGGTGGGGACAGCTATCTCTCGGGGCAGAGGGAATGGAGCGATCATTCTAAGCAGTCAATGGGGATAAGATCGGTTACCCTTCGGGGTCGATGGGATGGAGCGGACATCTTCTAGAAGTGAGGGGGAGGGAGCGGCCATCTCAAAGGAAGACGGGTAGCCAGAGGGTCTGGCCTCGCTAGGGTGACAGAGCAGCCATCTCCTGTGGCCGACAGGGAAGAACAGGATGGTCTCCCAAGCTATGGGGACCAGTTCCCTAAAGGTGGGGCCATTACCCAGAGCTTGCAGGTCCTGGGATCCGCCAGGCCGGTCGTTTCCGCCAGGCGGGCGGGACCAGGCGAACTGTCTGACAGCCCCTCCCCACGGCCCGGGACCCCGAGGGCGGGGCCTGTCCCGCGCTAGGCCTGAGGGCGGCCTCCTCTCACCTCCAGGGGCAGCGACTCCGCCATCACATCCCTGCCGCCTCCGCCCCCGCGCAAGGCTTTTTGGGAAATGTAGTGTCACTAGCTATAGGGCGTGGCTTGGGAAGGATGTGTACTCCACTTCCGTCTCATCTGCTGACGACTTTGGTGCGCACCGGAAGTGCCTGTACAGCCGATGTGGTGCTGCTTGACTGCGGTTTTGATCGCTGTCTCTTGTTCCCTCGGCTGGGTATTTGCGTCGCACCATGGCGGTGAGGAGGGAGGATAGGGTGGTGCTTGCATTGGCAAAGAGCCCCCGGGGCCGGGAGACTGAAAGCAGAGGAAGGACATCAAGGGATGCGGGGTCGGCAGGAGGGGGCCGCCATCCTGTGGCGGGACCGTACTAGAGCAAGCCGGAGGGGGGTGTTCGTACCAGACAGGTGCCGAAGCGGGGCGCCGTCCTGAGGCTTGACAGTACCGGAGCAGGCTAGACATCTGACGGGCCTGAGCGGAGTGGGCGTCAGCCCAGACCTGAACTATCCAGCAGAGACCGTAGAGGGGCCCCCTTCAGCTCACTCAGGAATCCGTCTGGAGGCGGCGTCGGCCCAAAGCTGCACTTTACCAGGGGAGCCAGAGGAGTTATCAGAATGGGGTTGGATAGTTCCAGGACGAGCAGGAGGTGATCGCAGCTTGGGGTGCTTCTCAGTCCCTAGGCAGGGTGGACTGGAGGTGAGATGGACATCCCAGGGATTGTGCTAGGTCTGAGCACCACGGGGACCTGGCTGAGGTGTGGATGGAACTCTGTAACTAACTAGACTGGTGGGGGGAATGGGGAAGGCCCCTGCCAAGGAGGGCTCAGACAGCATCTCACAACCTTTCTGCAGCCCAAAGGCAAAGTGGGCACGAGAGGGAAGAAACAGATATTTGAAGAAAATAGAGAGACCCTGAAGTTCTACCTGCGGATCATACTGGGGGCCAATGTAAGTGCATGTCCCCTTGCGTCCATGCCACCCATAGTCCCACAGTCCTTAGCCCTGTTTAGTTGGGAGTGGCAGTATGTGACAGCCAGTGCTCCAAGAGAAAACTCCAGTCAAAAAGAAATGAGAGTATGAGTCCCAGCTGGATTTGAGAGCCCTTATTACCCCTAATACACAGGGGCTTCTTTCCTGGGCTGGCTTGAGTGTCAGAGGGGAGTTGGTACTCGGAGCAGGCCCCTTGTCCCCCCAACCCTGTAGGAACAACCTGGATCCTCCCACAGCCTGGCTCAGTTCTTGGAGAGAGAGAGAGAGAGTGAGAGAGAGAGTGAGCGAGAGAGTGAGAGAGAGAGAGAGAATGAGAGAGAGTGTGTGTGTGTGTATGTGGTGTGTGTGTGTTGGGGAGGACAGTAGTTTGGGAGTGGCTTTTGATCCCAGCCTGATTTTTCTGTGTTTGCTTATAGGCCATTTACTGCCTTGTGACCTTGGTCTTCTTCTACTCATCTGCTTCATTTTGGGCCTGGGTGAGTGTCGCCCATCCTGGGAAGTGGATGGGTGTATAGCGTTAGTGGCTGGCCTTTGACACCCCCATCCTTGCCCTGCAGATGGCTCTGGGCTTTAGTCTGGCAGTATATGGGGCCAGCTACCACTCCATGAGCTCGATGGCGCGGGCAGCCTTCTCTGAGGATGGGGCCCTAATGGATGGTGGCATGGACCTCAACATGGAGCAGGGCATGGCAGAGTGAGTGTCCCCCGCCGCCAGCCCAGGTGAGCGGCCCCAGGGCTGGGGCGCTGGGGCCCAGATAGCCCAAGACCCACAGCTGCCTGCAGCTCAAAGAGGGTGGAAGGGAGCCAAATGGGGCCCATCTGTTATCTCTGGCCCTTGCAGCCTCCCTTCTATCCACAGACACCTTAAGGATGTGATCCTACTGACAGCCATCGTGCAAGTGCTCAGCTGCTTCTCCCTCTACATCTGGTCCTTCTGGCTTCTGGTGCGTGGGCTGTGACGGGGAGGGCCCAAGAAGAGGATAGGGCATCCAACCCTCCTCATCTTCCATTCCATGAGCCTGGCTTCAAGTCATCTTCTCTCTTCTAGGCTCCAGGCCGAGCCCTTTATCTCCTGTGGGTGAATGTGCTAGGCCCTTGGTTCACGGCAGACAGTGGCACCCCAGCACCAGAGCACAATGAGAAACGGCAGCGCCGACAGGAGCGGCGGCAGATGAAGCGGTTATAGCCATTGGCATTGTGGCCACAGGCTGCTGGACCTTGGGCAGCTCTATTAGGCTGCCTGGCCCCCAATGCCAGGAGCAGTGAGGGCCTTGTCCAGGCGCCAGAGTGTTCTGGGGTATAGGATTGTTGAATAAATGGCTTAGAGGTGGCTAATGGCTGTGTGGGTGATAATGAGGGGCAGGGCAGGAGGAGCCAGGCTTTTGTTATTTCCCTCCTGTTATAGACCCAGCCTAATGGGAACCTTCAAAGAAGAAAAAGGCTCTTAGATTGGCTAAGAAAAACTTTATTTTGTGCCATAAGTTCAGGGAGCTCACTCATACACAGGCACACACGACTAATACTGCTCAAGGCACTGGCCCCTGGGCACAGAGTGGCACTAGAGTTTGGGAAGAGGCCCAGAATTCTGTTCTGGGCCTCTCCCCGCTCTATAGTCTCTTGCACTGCAGGCCTGGGCCCAGAAAGGTTTCCTGGAGGCAGCACCTTCAAACCTCCAGGCCAGGACCCTTGCTCAGTCCCAGTGCCTGCACCAGGTCTTCTCCGAGCCCACTCTTCAACGTCCGTCTCACTGCAGGGACAGGGCAAGGTTGGAAAGTGTTGGTGGGGTTAAGGTGGGCAGCAGGCTTGTGGGGGGGTACTCACAAGACTTGCGGTTGCCACGGGAACGCTTGCGTTCCCGAGCCGCTAAGGCACGAGGACTGCTCTTGGTCACTGACTGCACCAGCAGGTCCATGATCTCATCTGAAGTGTCAGTGGGTGAACCGGAGCCTAGGGGTTCTTCTGGGGGTGCTGTGGAGGGCCCCACTGGTGTGGGTATCACAGGAGAGCTGCTCTGGACTGTGCCTGAGGGAGGCCAGATAGAGAGGTCGGGCCAAGGTGGCCCCAGGGCCCACTCCCTCCAGTGGCCATGGATCCTACCTCTGCTGCGGCGACCGTGGGTGGCGTCCTTGGGGCTGCTGGTTAACAGACTCTTCATGCTGGCATGACTGTCGGCATCACCCCGGCCTGGCCCGCTACCCACAGCCACTGGGACAGCTGTGTTGCTGGGGGTCTCCCCAGCCACACCTGAGAACTTCTCTGTCTGGAGAGAGGAGAAGGATGAGCTGGAAGTAGGGAAGGGAAACCATGAGGGTGGTAGCTGGGACGTAGAAGGGGCACCCACCTCAGTGATCATGCGTCCCCGTGTCTTGTTGCGCTCACGGTATGTAGCCCGCTTCTGCTGCTGCTGTAGCACCCGTTCCCGGCAAGTCCGATACTCGAGTGCAAACTCCCGCAGCGTGTGGCAGAACTGCATGATGCGCACTTCACGGGCCCCTTGTGCTGTGTAGCCCAGGTAGAGCAGGAACGCATGGAACCTAGGCAGGTCGGGACAGGGAGGGATGATGAATCCTGCTTGGTGTCTGAGGGATAGTGGTGGCAGTCCTGCCCTTCCCTGGCCCACGCCCCTACCTATTGCAGACCCGGCGGTGTACTACCCTCAGCACGGCAACACGGCAGGCACACTGGGCCAGGAAGTGGGTGAGGCGGGCACGCAGTGCTGGGGCCAGCTCATGCTTGGCCAGGGCCCGCAGACTCTCCTTAGCCGCCCAGCTCCGGCATTCCAGCTGCCCCAGGTTCTCAGCCAGCTGCTCAAAGTCCACCTGGAAAAGCCAGGGGTGGTGGTTACATGTTGTCCCCTCCCCCCCATAGACACAGACACTGCCTGAGGCAGCCTCTGTCCCAGGCTAGCCAGCCTGAGCCCTGAGGACGCAAACAGCTGAGACCTGGCCCCTGCCCTCCAAAAGCTCAGGGTATAATGCAAGAGACAGACAAGTCCATTTGATTCAATGAGGGAACAGAGAAGGCTTCTTGGAGGAAGTGGCAGCTAAACTGAGACCCAAAGACTAAATAGGCATGGCTAGGCCAGCAGAGGAGAGAGTGTTTCTGGCAGAGGACATAGCCCACACAAACACCAGTAGCCTGAGGATGCCCTGGCACAGCAGCCCAAATAGGAGGGGGAGCAGCTGGCCCCAGGAAGGAGCTCTCTCTTGTGCCTCGGCCAGTCGGAGCTCAGCCTCTGGCTGGTGCTAACCTTGGCACAGCGGGTCACGGCAGGGATTTCTGAGTAGAGGTCGGAGGAATCAGGCCGAGTCTGGAGCACCAGGGAGCAGAGATGGTGCAGCAGTGACTGCCGGCGCACTGTGTCCTTCACCTCTGACACCTTCTCCAGGTAGCTCAGCTCAAAACCGCTGCTCTGAAAGGACCCCATCTGAGTCTGGGCCTGGCCAGCCCCAGAGCCCTGACTCCCAGCCCCCATATGTTCTCACTCACCTGGGAGCCATTGAGGAAGTTGCCCACAGCCAGCAGGGTGGCCAGGATGCAGCGGAAGGTGGCATTCTGCACCAGCTGTTCCATGCCCACTTTCAGGTCAAACAGTGGCTCTGCAATTTCCTGGTGTGGGGGACCAGGAACTCTCAGACTACATGGTCACCATGCTCGCCTGTCCCCCTCCCTGTCCCACCCCATGACCCAGGTACCCGCTCCATGCTGTCATAGTCCAGCTTGAAGGCCCAGAGTTGTAGGCGGGCAGCCAGAGCCCCAATGGAGGCAAGGGTCAGCAGGAAGTTCTCGGCTGGGCCCAGGGGTATGTCAGGGTTGGCCAGCTGGGCCTCCTCGATCTTCTGCCGCTCGTCCTCCGTGGGCATCATGGTCAGTAGCTTCTGAGGATGTAGCCGCCGCCCCATTTAGACCCCTCAGTGCTGGCCTGAGGCCTGAGACTTTGGTCTTGGCCCCTCCCTAGGACATCTTGGGGAGCCCCAGGGTCTAGGGACTGCCCTGCAGAAATGCCAAGCCCATGCCCACCACTGGAGGGGCAGGAAACGCCCACTAACCAAAGGAGAGGGCCAGACCTCCCACTTCCTCCCTACACACAGCCTGGTATTCCCACCTCAATGCCATCCTTGCTGACAGCAAACTCGTCAAAGTTGAGCAGGGCAGCCTTGATGACATGCACAGGCGGCAGTGTCGTCAGGCCGATGTTGATGGCATTGCTGCGCTTGGGGTCCAGCACTGTGGTCACTGTCCGGCGGCCCTCACCTGCTTTCTATAAGGTTGAGACAAGAGTGTTATAGTATTGGGGAAGGGCCTAGCTGGGGCAGTAATCTAAGAGGGCACTCCAAGTCCTTCCTTAAACGGCGGGATCACCCCAGAACTGGGGTTCTGGGATGTGTAAGGCATTGAGAAGAGCTTAGATTCTAGTTGAGGCTCTGCTGATCCCTTGCTGAGAGACTTTGAACAAGTTCTTACGCCTTTCTTTGCCTCAGTTTCCGCATCTGGGAACTAAGTGGCCAGCTCCAGCAACTCAGACACATGAGCTCTAACTCCCTCCCCACTCCACTGTAGTTATTTTGCAGATGAAAGTGGGTTTACCTTGGAGGGCAGCACGTCCTTGGCACGGGACTCGAACAGGTGTTCCAGCCTAGCTGTGTCCACTGACACAGGCTCCAGGGAGGCCCACAGAGTGGGGCAGGGCCCAAAGCGGCTCCCAGAGCCTCCAGGGCCCCCAGCCAGCTTCAGCTCCCGCCAGAAGAGTTTTACTGTCTTCCTCTTGGTGGGGAGAACTGGGCCATCAGGCACTGAGGGGGGAAGAGGGGCAGCTGGGGGTGGGGGTGGTGGGAAGGGGCCTTTGGTTAGTGTGGGAAGTGGGGGTGGGGGAGGTGGGGGTGCTCCCAAGAGCAGCGGTGGTAGGGGTGGCGGAGATGGGACCCCTTCTCCAGCCTCCACGGACTCCATGTTCAGCATGTCCTGGTCTTCATCCTCCCCCAGATCTGAGAAGTCCAGGTCCCCAATGCAGAGCTTGGGTGCACGGGCAGGAAGCTCCCGGAAGGGTGCAGCCTCGGGGCTTGGTGGGGCCAGTGGCTCCTTGGGCTCTGGCTCAAGGCTCTGCTGGGCCCGAAGAAGGATTCGGGGGGCAGGGCTCTGGGGGGTTCTGGGTATAGGGACTGCCTCTGGGGAGCGCCATAGTTCCCGGGTGTCTAGAGAGAGGGAAGCAGCTGTCAGCACCATGCTCCCTGTGGAGCAGCAGGGCAACGGAGGTCGGTTCTGCCTGCCCACCCACCCACTCACCTGAGTGTCCATCGGCCTCGTCTGGCATGGCCCCAGCCAGTGTTTCTGCCCGGCCCTGGGCCAGTGCAGCCTGCTTCTCTGTTTCTGCAGCTGCCACATTCTCCAGGAACCGGGCTCTGGAGGGAAGCACTTGTCAGTGGGTGTCTAACAGCCTCAGCTCAGGGTGTGCACATGCCTTGCTGGGCTCTTGGGCACTGCCCCCAAATGCAGGCACACACAGACACACAGGGAACAGTTCATGCGCTGAGCAGACCCAGGACCTGTCCCCCAATGCCAGCCCCTGTTCAGTCCTCCACATCTGGTGAGGGTCACCATCAACCCAGCATTCCCAGGTCAGTATACAGGGAGAAGTTCTACTTAATATCCAACTTGTAGCCTTGCTGCTGTTCATGTTCATTGTCCTGATTATAGACAAGCACCCTTAGGGCAGGGGAAGGGGATAGCTGTCCCATTGGGCACACAAGGCTGTTCCTCCTTCAGCACGTCTGGAAGCTTCTAAGAGCTATGGCTCATGCCCAGAAATGTGCCTAGTAGACAGGCACTCAGTTTATTTTGAACTAATGAATATGACTTGGTGTCTTCTTCTGGCCCCTGCAGCCTCTATCAGCCCTTACCCAGGTCCCTGCCTGTCTCTCAGCTCCAGGTTACTCCTCTGCCCCTATACCACACAGTACCCTAGATCCCCTCCCTGTCCTACTCCTGAGCTGAGGGCATGAGAGAAGGGGCCCAGCCTTGGAGTCCATATCCCCATTGCTGGTCTAAGCTGTTGAGGAAAGATTATCACTATTGAAACACAGGGACCACTATGACCCCAATGAACTGCTTCCCAGTGCTTAGTCCTTGGATAACCAAAGAAGCATAATCCTGGAAGAGAAGGAGCCTGAGAGTCCCCCATTCTGGCTGCATTGGGCACGTGGAACCCCCGCGGGGGAAGCAATGCTGAAGCCCTGAGCACACGGCAGGCCTAGCAGGCTGGCCTCTGTACTTACTCCAGCCTGGCCTGCCCAGTAGGGGACTGGGGGACAGGTGGGTTCTCAGGGGCCCTGGGGGGAAGGGGGCAAGAGGAAAAGATGGTGACTGTGGTACCTGCTCCACCCCAAAGCCCACTTGCTTGCACCCACACAGAGCTGGGCAGTGATATCAGAGGGACCTTCCCAGCCACAGTGGGAAGAGGAGGGGGTGGGGAAACATGACATGAGGAACCTAGAAGTGGAGGGGAGAGACTGACAGGAAGCAGGACAGGTGCAGTAACAGACAAAGATAGAGCAGAACAAGAGAGGGTCAGAGAGACAGTGGCAGAAACACAGAAGTGGGGGACAGATGACAGGCAAAGAGAGGCAGAATGTCAAAAAGAGGAGATGAAGAAGCCGCAGAAGAAGGAGGTCCAGTCAGAGCCGAACCCCACCCCAGCAGTCACTTACCAAACAGGAGCAGTTTGGTGAAGTCTGGAAAGAAAGAGAAAGCACACGTTTGCGCAGAGGAGGCTGAGGGCGCCTGGGAGGGGCGCAGAGCAGGGCGCAGAGCGGAGGGAGAGTTGGAGAGAGGACTCCTGGGGCAGCCTCCACCGCCCTACTTACTTGTAGATGCTTCGCTCGCAGGAGCTGTCAGCCAAGGGCGCCACGGAGATGCTAGGGAAGAGGCTCACAGAGGAATGGAGGCCAGAGGCAGGGCCCATGGGGCTGGAGGTGGGTGCTGTCAGCTGGGCAGTGCCCGTGGGGCAGGAGGCAGGGCTTACAGGTGGGGCGGGGCCTGTGGGGCTGGAGGCGGGGCTGGTCAGAAGGACACCTCCACGCCTGCCCACCCAACTCCTTCCATTCAGCGCTGTCGTGTTCTTACCCAGGCTCTGAGGCCCGCACTGCGGGGCCACCCCCGCCTTCCAGAGATCGGCGACTCCTCTTGCCCTCCTCAGACGACGGCTTTCGGCGCTCCCGCCGTCCACCCGCGGCAGCTTCCTCGAGGTCTCCATCCTCCAACTTCAGGGCGCTCTAGGGGCAGTGGGGCAGAATGTGAGCCCCAGGTAGGTGGGGTGGGGCATGCTTGGGAACCGTGTCCCTTTACTCCAGCCCTCAGTCTGGCCCTGGCCGCCTGACCCACCTCGTAGAGCACAAGCTGCGTACGCAGGTCGACGTCAGTGCCTGGGGTGCACAAGTGGCGCTGGACCAGTGCCTCCATACCCTGCTGCTCCAGTGCATCTGTCACGTCGTAGAATGAGTCCTGGTCCGGGAGCGCTGCCAGCGTCTGGAGGGTGGGGGTGGGAGGCCAAGGCTGAGGCCGGTGGGGACCAGAGGTCAGGAGCCCAGGGACCCAGGGTTCCTGCCGGGTCCCATACCTTGTTGATGAGGGTGATAGCGTACACCAACAGCTCAGGGTCAGCGCCATTCTTCTCCTCCAGGATGGACACCAGGTTGGTCCACGGAAGAGCGCCTGCCGCATAGACAGAGAGGCAGTCACGGACCAGTAGGAGAGAGGGCTCTGAGTGGTGGGGGAGGGAGGGACAGTGTCTGACCGGTGGTGCTGGCCACAGAGTTGACTGCACGGATGAAGAGCGGTGCGTTGTTTTCAGCGTATTCCACAAACACCAGCAGAAGCTTCAGGGCCATCTTCACCACCAAGCGGGACTAGGGGGACAGGTCACCACATATGAGTGGGGCTTGGGCCAACTCTGTGCCAGTTCCTGGTGGGCAAGGGGAAGGGTTCCTGGGGCTGGACCCAGAGAGGAGTTGAGGGAGGAAGACCCTGGCTCAGGGCCCAGGCACTGAAGTGTCTTCAGGCTTAGAGGGGCCTCAGACTCACTCCAGTCCAGAAGAGGAAACTGAGACCCAGAAAGAAGCAGTGGGAAAAGGGTGCATGGCTGGGGGGGGGCACTTACCAGGCTGGCACATAGTGTGTACAGCCACTGCACGGTCTCACTGTGGGCTACCACTCCCAGCATCCCGTCCACAAAAAGCATCAGCTGGCCCAGTGCTGGGGACACAGGGAGGGGAAGAGGTCGGTGAGGAGTCACTAGGGGGCAAGGGTCATGGGGGAGGTGGAGGCTGACCTCGGAGGATGTAGCTCTGGTAGTTGTGGTCAGCAGCAGCACCCACATGGATCAGGCAACTCAGCCCCTCTGAGTGCACGAACTCAGGTACCAAGTCCTTGTCCTCCTGGGGACACCACGGAGAAGTTTAGAGGGGCTCGGGATGGATGCCCACCCCTAGCCCACCTCTGGGCCTCACCTGGAAGATCTGCTTCAGTGAGAAGAGGGAGCGGCGGAGTTCAGGGCCACTGGAGCCATACAACTTTTCTGTAAGGGGTAGGTGGGCATGGAACCCCCAAGGGAACACAGACACACTCCTCCACTGGGACATGACCACAACCCCCCAACCAAAGGTTGTCTCATCCTAGTACTCTCAAAATCCACCCCCTGACTCTGGGCACCCCTCACCACAGTCTAGCTTGCAGCATCAACCCTGGCCCTAGAGGAGAGGTGAGGATGGGGAGGGGACACACTCTGTGTCCTATCTGCCCTGTCCAGCACAGGCCTGAAAGAAATGGAGCCAGCTTGGCTGTGTGGTGGGAATGTGGGGGACTGCTGGACATTGACGTCCTCATACTCACTCACCCAAGATGGCATTGACCCTCACAGAGAGCTGGGTCCGCAGGATCAGCGTAGGCTTCCGCCCTTTGCTGGAATCAAGCAGCCTCGTCAGCAGCTCCCAGCCCATTCCTCAGGGTCCCTTCCCTCACCCAAAAGCAGCCAAAGACCTCCACATGCCAACCCTGGCCCAGCTCCTTCCTCCCCAGCTGCTCTTTCAAGGGCTCAAGGGTTGGTTGGACAGGAGGGTTTGTGCAAGCACAGGTATCTCAGGTATGTGGGAAAGTCACCCTGGACTGCTATTCTGGGCAGCAGGTAGCACTGGCCAGGCCTTGGGATTTCCCCGGCACAGTTCCCGGGGGTGGCAAGAGGTGAGCCATGGCCCAGGTTAGAGATTGAGTTTCTTGGCTGCTGACACCTGAGCCAGACCCAGGTGGGGGCAAGGATGGGGGCAGCCTTGCCTCCCTGACCCCATCAGCTCTGACCCGATCTCTTCGTAGAAGCTTTCTAGCATCTCCCGCTGCTCTTCCAGGGACAGCTCAGAGTCCAGGTAGTATCCAGAGGGAGACACTTGCAGGGCACAGTCCTCCAGCTAGGGACAAAGGGAAGAGATGTCAGGGCTGGGGTAGGGGTGGCGGGGGTATGTGTGGATACCCCATGACCCCCTATCTCCCACTTGGGGTGTTAACAGAGAGGCACACTACAAGGCTCTGAACTGTAGCCATGCATTCATTTCTCAGGCGCCTACTATGTGCAAAGCCCTATGCATCTTTTTTGTGTGTGTGTGCATTAGGAGAAAGTTCACAGAGCAACTTAGTTTCCAATTTGATAGTTTGTACACAAACCATGACATTTGTTGGATTTCCCACAATGTGCCTGCCCTCCCCCGCTTTCCATCCTAGGTTCCCTGTTTCCTTTCGTCCTGAATTGCTACCCTTCCTGCCGTCTCATCTTTGCTTTTGGGCAAATATTGTCCTTTTAATCTCATATAATAGCTTGTTCTAAGGGACATGTTCCTCTCAGGCGGTGTTGTTTATGGGCCTGTCTGTGGTTTGACTGAAAGAAGGTCTCCGGTAATGGCTGCAGTTGCAGTTCAGAAGGGTGTCTTAGGGCCATAGTCTCAGGAGTGACTGCGGTCTCTATCATCAGACTAGTAAGTCAGGTCTTTTTTTTATGAATTTGATTTTTTGTTCTGCAGTTTTTCTCCCACTTTGTCTGGGACCTTCTGTTGTGATCCCGGTCAGAGCTGTCAGTAGCAGTAGCTGACACCATCTAGTTCTTCTGGTCACGGGGTCATGTAGGCTGTGCTTCATGTGGTCCAATAGTCCTTTGGACTAATTGCTCCCTTGGGTCTTTGGTTTTCTTAATTCTCTTTTGCTCGGGATGGTAAAAGATCTATAGCTGTATTTTAAATGGCCGCTCTCAAGCTTTTAAAACCATAGATGCTACTCACCAAAGTAGGATGCAGAACTTTATGTACTATGTTGTGCCAGTTGACATAGATGTCCCTCAAGTCTGTGGTCCTTTGCCTTCGAGCCTAGGAACTTCATCCCATGAGGTATTTGGTTATGTCTAAGAAGTTGCCCTGACTGTGACCCTTGTGTGCTCTATTGTCTACGTAGACATACAAACATCATCTACAGTTATGTATGTAGAAATATCCACCACTGAACCTATATCTGCAAATGGGTATGTTTCCTTATACCATCCCATACGTCTTGTCACATCTACCTAGCTATGTATGTATTCATAAATTAGTGTTTGTTAATACTATTGTTGCAACATTGTCTATGCTATGGAAATTACTGTTGTTGCCCTTTGTTTTTGTATTCCTCTCAGTGTCCTCCCATGCCTTGGTCATCCTTTGCTGACTTCCTCATGTTGTGTATTGCCTTTCCCTTCACCAAAATTAAAATGTGTCTTCTATCTATTTGGTAATTTTCCCTCCCTTACCCTCCAGCCCCATACATCTTATGTGCCAGACTTTCTTGCTCTTTGTATTCTCTCCTGGCTAACACCTATCCATTCTTTAGGTTTCAAATAACACTTTTTTGGAAAGTCTTCTTGGACCCTGTGTACACCCTCTGAGACCTTCCACACAGCATTATGCTATTCTAGACACTAGTCTCCTTCCCCACTAACTGTGCTCTCTAGGTTCAGGCACCATGTATGTCTTGCCCCCTGCCATATCTGCAGAGCCTAGCACAGCCCTTGGCACATGGCAAATGCTCACTAAGTGCTTGTGGAGCTAATGAACATAAAGGAGAAAGGGGAGTTGAGAGAAGATGGGAGGAAGTTCCCGCCTTCGAGGAAGCTCACAGCCCTGTGGGGGTGATAAGCTGCAGCTACAAAGCATTAAAGCCCAGGGAGAAAGTGTCAAGAGTGTTGGGAGGTGCAAACCCAGCTGGGAGAGCAGAATGAGAGTGTGTGTGAGAGAGAGGGAGGGAGAACGCGCACGCGCACGAGCATGTGCGTTTCATGAGTAAGGCAATGGTGAAGAACGAGACTCCCTAGTCTCTGGGCCTCAGGGTCTTGTCTTCCCCACAAGTGGGCTACAGTTACAATAATCCTAGCTGGACCTTAGGGGTCCCCAGGGAGCCTATAAAAACCAGATCTTAGGGTCTGACACAGTCAGTCTACAGTGGGGCCCTGAAACCTGCTTTGTAACAGAAAAGCACATGCTCCATCCATGTGCTCCTTTTCCATGTTCCTCTCCCCTTGGGCCTGGCTCCCCTCCACCACCACCACCAGTCACTTGGCCCCTTGAGAAGTGCCTGTAGAGAGGCCCGAGTGAGGTGACTCCAGAGAGTCTGAGGGCAGCACTATGCCTCTCTCTGACACCGCCCCCATAGCATAGCACCAGTACGCAAGGCTCATGAAAGTCCCCTTGACTTGAGTGGCTCCAGCTCTTGAGGTGCCATGCTCCAGAGAGGGCCCACCTCTGGAGAGGCAGGGTGTCTTCTGGCCTCCATCTTACTGGGCAAGTAAACCTCAACATTTGTCCTGCTGTTCTGTCAGCACTGCCCTGCTCTGGACCCAGCCCAAGGGCTTCCAGCTGTCCTTCATTCCCTGAGGGGAAAGAGTCCCTTCCTCTGCCTCTGTTTAGCTCCCCTGCTCATGCCTTACAGCCTGACTCCTTCCTGGCAGTTCAGCTTGCACGGGCCCTTAGGTGACCCCCCCTGCCTGGGACATGGGACAAACACTCCAGGCTGTTCTCTGTCACACTTCCTGCCTGGCTGGCTGCCTTCCTCTGGGCGCCTTGGGCGGACCTGGCTTCTCTTCCCACCCTGGGAGCAGAGTCATACTCTCTAGGGCCTACTGGGAAAAGGCTGGAAAGAGGGCAGCAAGGTCCCAGGGCTGGGGTACCTCGTCCAATGCCAGCTCAGCTGAGGGCTGCCCCACAAGCCTCCTAAGCCTGCTTCCCACTTGGTGACTCAGCAGCTGACCTACCCCACCCCCATCCAGGCACAGCTGTATCTCCCTCCACCTTGGACTGAGGATTCTGGGACCCTCGAGAGCCGTATCTCTCTCAGAGCCACAACCCACCTCAGGAACCCTCCAAAACCACACATGTACAGAGTAGTTCATTCATTCAAACATTCACAAACTAGACTTGGTTTTAGGTGCTGAGGACAGTAGGGAATAAGACTGTCTCTGCGTTCCCTTCTTTCCAGTCCAGTGATGGAAACAGGCTTGACTCAGAAGAAGCTAGCAAATACATGTAGAATCACAACTTCGATGGGTGCTAAGAAAGGAGCGGAGCAGAGTGCTGTAAAGATAAACACTGGAGGTGTGATTGTATTATACCTACTAACTGCTTACACACCTAGTATATGCTCACTGGCCCCTCAAAGGCCAAAGAACCACATCCACAGCAAGGGCAGGCCCACCTGTGGAGTCTCTTCCCCTCCTGCACACACACTCATGGATGCTTTCATACCAAGTGAGCAGAGAATGGCCCTCTCCTTCCAGGATACCCTATGCCCGCTAAGCACCCCATCTCCCCCAGCCTCCTCAGGTGAGCAAGTTTAACCCCTTCCCCTCTGCAGTGGTAGCAGTGGTTTCCCTAGCCACTTTACCTATCCAATCCTGCCAGGGCCCCGTTTCTGGGGAGGGGATCCAGGGGTACCAGTCAGTCCAATGCCTCCAGGACAGTGCCCCTCCCCACCAACTGTCTGTCCTGGGTGGAGGTGGAGGGGTGTAGGCTAGGGCTAGGCAAACAGCGGAGGGGAGACTTCCTGCCAGCAGGATGGTGCTTGTCCCTAACACCCCTGGTCCCTTCCTGGGGTCACTGTTCTGGGAGTCAAACCTCTGGGCCTTGTTTCTCATACTCTGGGGCTGGGCCAGGCCTGAGCAAGCACAGATCCTGGTCCCTGATGACAGGGTTGAAGGTCAGCACATAGTATAGGCCTACATCCAGTACCTCCTCCTGGCTCTTGTCTTCCTCACTCCTCTGAGGTGGAGAGCCCCTCCTCCATTCTTCCCTGGCTCAGCCCTTCACTTCAGCCTTCAGCCTACTTTTTTCTTGCCACTCTGGGCTCAAGTTTTTCTGGCATATGATTTTATATGCAGGGCCAAGCTTAGCGGACCATGGTGCCTACTCCCCGAAATTTTTATAACAGCCCAATCAGGTCAGAACAAACATGCAGGGAACAGCTGGGAATGGGAGGTAGAGAAAAATGTCACCTCAGACCACCAGAAGCATAGTACAAAGAGAATGGAGAAGAGGGTGCAATTAAATGCTGAAGGTCTCTTGTCTTAGGAAATAATTTGTTAACTGCCTCTTTCTTCTCTCCTATAAACACAGCGCCCTGTACTCTGAAGACCCTTTTCCTGTTATCTTGAGTCTCCAACTAGACTGTGACTTCCTAGATGAGATGACATGGATGGGCCTTGGGGAGGGAAACCCACATTTGTTCTGCCTCCTCATTGATGGGTTCTGGCTGCCTATTTCGTTGGGTTCTCCCAACAGTCCTTTTACAGGTGAGGAAACCAAGGCTCACAAGTTCAGTGAACTTACCCAGGCCATACAGCCAGGAATGGAACTAGGGCTAATTGACCCAGATCTTGGGTGGATGGGCCTTGGAAATGCTCCAGGGAGTCCTGGAGGGGAGGGCAGTGAGGACCAGGGCCTGTAGGATTGCCAAGGGCTGGAGACCGACTGCCCCAAAGCTTTCTGGACTCTGCAAATATTCTGAACCGGTCCTCCCAGTTCCAGCAAGGGAACACATGAGTAAACATACACCATACATGGTGGGGTAACAGTGACTACCTCTGCCAGGACCTAGGGACTGGGCTCTCTCACCAGGTGGTAGGCCAGCCTCCTGAGCCCAGAATGACCAGCAGATTGGACATGCTGGCCCCAGGGGAGGATGGGAGGGACCCAGGACTCGTGCACAGACTGCAGTCTCCCAACAGACTCCCACAGTGGGGGGACTAAAGAGCCCAGTTCACCACCAGAGCACCCCACCTTCCCCTTATGAGCCCTCTGGGACCCCTCTAGTTGGCTGAGACTGCTACCGCAGAAGTCAGGTTCATACTTTAGTTCCCTCACCATGACTGCTTCTCAGGGGTAAAGTGAGGCTGGAGTGGAGAGGGGCAGGGACAGGAAACATTCTGGGGCAGTGACACCTCTAACCTGCTGGACCTCTAGCCACAGCTAGGGAACCAAAGTTGCTGGTAATGGCCAGATCTCTAGGGCTCTAGGTCCCTGGGTGGCACAAATGTTTGCTCTTGGTTACTAACAGAAAGATTGGCAGTTTGAACCCACCCAGTGGCACCCTGAAAGAAAGGCCTGGCAATCTGCTTCTGTAAAGATTACAGCCAAGAAAACCCTATGGAGCACAGTTCTACTCTGTAACACATGGGGTCATCATGAGTCAGAACTGACTCAACAGCAATCGGTTTGAGTCTTTTTTTCTAGGGCTATCCTTGCTTGCCAGAAAGTGTGCTGCTGTGGTCTTTGCCCAGAGCCAAGGGAGAAGTCAGTGCTATCCCAGATATGGCAGGGCCCTTGAGACACAGGGAGAGGCTCCTGAGGCACCTCCTGGAAGGGCAAAAGTTAGTAGCACCATGGAGGGCGGGACAGTGCTATTCTGGATAAAGAGGTGAGATACAGAGCTACAGGGTCAGATTCCCCTCCTGAGGCAGGCGTAGGTCCTGGGAGAGCCTCCTTCAGGAGGGAAGAAAGACACTCCTGAGTTCCCCTGGGGACAGCAGGCCTAGCCCAAGGAACCCCTCCCACCTCCACCCCCCAAGGCCAGGAGATGAGTCAGAGGCTGTGGCCAGGAGCTTCCTCCTAGACAGGGAGGAAATGAGCAAGGCCTTCTTAGACCTAAAAGCTCTGAATCGTTTGAAAAGGAAGCCCCCAGGGGGACTCTAGATAGGAGGCCCAGCCCAAAGGGGTGTGGAGGGGTGGAGTCTCAGGGAAGGAGTAGGCTGGGCCTCTGCACATTCCCAGGGAGGAGGCAGAGACAATGGGGGTCAGTCCCCAAGTGGGAGACAGACATCACTTGGCTGTGTCCTGTTCCCCTATGGGACAACTGTATGCACGATGAAGCAGTGAGTAGAGAGCCCCTCCCTCAGCCTGGGATGGAAATGCCTGGGTTTGGGGGCCTCATCTCCTCTCTAGAGGGCTATTAAGGCAGGCCTGGGTCATATCTGTGCCCCTGAGGCTCTCCTAGGGCACCCACTTAGGGGATTATGGGAGGAACAGCTGTTGACATTTCCTGCAAGGAGGGGCCCTACTCCCCTCCCCCAGTTCTCTGATGTCCTTGCCCCTACTCTATTCTCAGCCCCTTTTCCTCCAGCTTTCTATTCTGGGGCTGTGGTCACAGTTTATATTTGGGATGAGCACACAGAAGCACATCTGACCATTCCTGGCAGGGCTGCCAGTACCAGTGAGCCTCAGCTCCAGGCACTGTGGTAACCCAGCGTGCCTGCTCCCACTCCTATATCCTGTCCGCAGGGGAGGGGAGGAAGGGAGTCCTCAGGTGCTCCAGGTGGGAGGCTGACTGGGTCCTGTCTGCTGCTCCTGAAAGTGGGGAAGAGGACTTAACACTCCATCCAAGCTCAGAAATGTCCTCAGCTAGAGAGCAGAGAACAAAGGGCAGAGCACCTGGTGTGGTGTGATGGGTCCTTAAATGAGGGAGGGGGGATAAGAAGCCGTTCTAGGCCTCTTTTCTACAGCTAACCTCCTGAACCTGTCCCTAGTTGGGAAGAGGTGTGTCAGGGCCAGGTCCTGTCCTGGGGTGGGGGTCAGGAGGAAAACTCGCTTCTCTCCAGTGCTCCAGCCTTATTTCAGCACCAGGAATTCCAGGAGGGGGCGGGGGGAAACCTCGGCTCAGCGCCCCTCTCTCCCCTGCGGCCAGGACAAGGGGGCAGCATCAAAACTCTGAAGGTGGGCAGGCCCGTGGCCTTGAAGCCGGGGCTCTGCCGGGACACGTGCCCCTCCCGCCCGCGCTCGGAGGCGGGGCTGGCCGCAGAGCGAGGAATGCAGGCTGGGGGCCCCACGCCCGGGGCACATTCCAGGGGAGACCCCGGGCCCAAGGGGCAAGTTTGCGCAACTCGAAGGGCACCTCCGCCGACTGTCTCTCCTCTCCCGCCACTCGGGACCGACGGGCTGACGGGAAACCCCGGGGGTTGGTAGCGCGCCTCCCGGCGTCCGGGCCCGGAAACGGAGCGCGCCGGAAAGGGCTGCCTGCGGGGGGCTAAGGGCTCGGAGCTGGAGTGGGGGAGGCAGGCAGGCCATCTGGAAACTGGCCTCTCCCGGCACTGCGCGCGATCCGCTCCTGGCTCGAGCCAAACGAGGGCAGACCGCGATTTAAAATTAGCCCGGCCCGCCCCCTCCTTTCCAGATGCCGACCGGCGGCCCGCGGGTGTACAGAGTGAGAGGGCGGTGACTCAGAGGGCTTTTCTACCCGTGCAGACTCCTGCGCTCTGCCTATCCCGGGCTGGGTCGCTTCCCAGAGACTACACTCACCCCATGAGGTCTCTTCTCGGCCGGGACTCCCACGCCGGACCCCGGCCCTCAAGGGGCCAGGCTTTCTACCCAACAGGACCCCCTCAGCCTCCAAAAATCGCTCGAAGCCTTGCTCTCCTCTAGTGGACCGCCCCGGATCCGCCCCTTGTCGTGGTCCCGCCCCACCTCACCTGAAGCAGGTGGAAGCTGGTCCCTCCCCAGATCCACCTCCTGGGTCCGCTACTGCCCGGACAGCTACCGTCATCCTTCCTAGAGCAGCTACCTTGGCAGACAGGTAGCGAGTGCACCTCGAGCACCTCTCCAGGCTGGGCCTCGCTTAGAGAGGCACCTGGGGTGGAGCAGACCACAAACTCTCATCTCCCGTCTGCATTTTCCTCTCAACTTGAGAGGTGTCCCCCGTAAGCGAGGCAGCATGTACCCTGGTCCCCAAGCACGAGATTTTCCCCGAGGGGCACACCCACTCTGGCCTCTCCCGGAGAGGCACCTCCCACAAGCTTTCATGGCGCGGACCCTGAACTCCCAATCGCCCCCAACCTTTCGCCGGCCTCCTTCACCTTGAGTGGCGCCCCCAGCAGGCGGTGCAGCGCGGGTATCTGCGCGCCCACGGGCAGCGCCCCGTCCAGGCTCCAGGTGGGGGCCCGGCGCGGCTCCGGGAAGTTAGCACATGCGAAGGGGTCGTTGTCTTCCAGGTACTGTACCCTCACTGTCACCATCGATACCGCCTCTCCGTCACCGCGGTCTTCCCCGCCCGCCATGGTTCCGCCACTGCCTCGCGCGGAACACCTTCGGGTCCTGGCCCCGCCGCAGCGGCCACCCGACTAGTTCTGTGTCCCGAGCCCGGCCAGCCGCAGCAGAAGACTGGCGGAGCCTGACTGAGGCGGGGCCGAGGAAGAGGGTGGAGCCAAGAAGGAGGCCCGAAACGTGAGGGTGGGCAACTACTGCCGGAGGCGGGACTTGCCGTCAGCCAATCAAAAGGCCGGGTCGTGATTCCGTTAGTTCACTGGCTGGGAGGGCTGGAAACCCGCGCTTGCGCCCCGCCTTCGAGAGTGTGCGGGAGGGGACCCGGTGTCTTCCTTTGGGCTAGAGGTTGGTGACGCTGCTCTGCTTTACTGGGATGTTAGGCCAGGTGGGGCGAATGTTTCGTCAGATAGTGGGCGGCCAGGTCTCCCTTCAGTTTGAGGGATGAAGTGGATGGGTTTCCCTCATTTGGGGAAAGTAGTGAGGTGGGTCCCTTTCATTTTGGAGCGAGAAGTGAGATGGATTCCACTCAGTTTGAAGGAAGAGGTGGGATCAGTTCCCTTTAGTTGGGGTAGAAGAGGTCCTCAATTCTGGGAAAATGGTGGGATGACTCTCAGTTCGAAGGGGAAAGTAGAACACGTTCCCCTCAGTTTTGAGAAAGAAGTGGGATGGGTGTCCCTCAACTTGCATGAAAAATGGAGATGGTCCTCCTCAGTTTGGGGCGAGATGAGAAAACCCCTCAGATTTTGGGGGAAAAGCTGGGTGGATCCTCTTAGTTTGAAAGGAATCGATCGGCTGGGTTTTCCACAATGTAGGCAAAAAAGTGAGATACGTTCCCCTCAGTTTCATGGAAAACGCGAGAAGAGAAAACCCGGTTTGAGAGATGAGAGATGAGCGTCTTTCTCAGCCTGGAGTGAGCTGGGCCCACTTTGGGCCTTGGGGTTTCTGGGCACGGCGTTATCCATCACGGCTTTTTGGGCGCTCCCAGTGCGCGTGTGCGGCGCTGGATGGGCTTGAGTGCCAGAAGGGGGTCCCATGCCCACGCTGGCCGCGCGGAAGGCGGCCGCGCATCGCCCCCTGCAGTCCTTACGGGGCAGCGCGGGGCCCGCGGCCTCGGCATCCAGAGCTGGCCGCGCCGCGGGGAGCCACTCGGGTGGGGGGGCTGCATCCCTACCATCCCCCCACCCCGCCCGGCGGACCCCGGCCCCTCCGGCTACCGGCTGACCCCTCCGGCAGGCGGGACGCCGCAGTGCTGCTGGAGGGTCGTGGCCGCACGCAGTTCTGAATCCGGGTGGGGCAAGGTTTTGAGAAGGTTTGCGGAAGCGGACTCGAAGGAGTATGTTGCGGGACTTGGGGGGAGAGGGCTGCACTGGGGGATTTCCGGAGCAGAGGCGGGTTTAGAGGCGAGGACGAAAGGGCGTCCCCACTACGGCTGCCCGGGACAGGGTCTCGATTCCGGACCTGGCTTGGGGGTATCAGAGCCAGGATTGGGGGGAGCTGGTCCCACGTGCCTGTGACGCGGGGGCGCCGGGTAGGCGGCTGCGGCTGCAACGCGGGGCTGGCGGCCGTGCCGTGCCGGAAGGGCGGCTGGGCAGGCGGCAAGATGCTGCGCACCGCTCTGCCCCTGCTTGGGCTGCCCCTGGCTGAGACCGAGGCAGCTGGAGAACCCACCAAGGAGCCAGGGGCGCCGGGCGAGCCTCCCCCGGGCTTGGCGCTCTTCCGTTGGCAGTGGCACGAGGTGGAGGCGCCCTACCTGGTGGCCCTGTGGATCCTGGTGGCCAGCCTAGCCAAGATCGGTGAGTGCGTGTGTGCGTGCGCCAGGCCGGCCCCCGGCCCCCCAGACCACCAGATCCCAGTGGCTTCAGTCACAGTGCCTGGACTTAGGTTCGAGTCCTTAGATCCGGGCTCCTACCCAGTTCCTGCACCGCCTCTTCTGGGTCTTCCTCCTACCCTTTTCCTCCCTTGGGAGCTCCGAGAATTCGCCTTCCCCGAGGGCTGCCCCAGCTCTCTCCTCCAGCCCCAACCCTGGACTCCTTCGGTCAGAAGAGCCCCTTTCTGCTTCTCTCTTCCCCTTGTGGTGAGCCTTCCTCGGTCCCCAGCCTCTCAGAAACGTCTGCTAGCGGAGGACATTAGGGAATGATATTCTGCAGCGAACCTAGGCATTCTGGTCCCGAGGAAGCAGCCTTCCCTGAGACCAAGTCCCACTGTCCATTCTCCTGGAATACTAAGCTGCCACATTTCCTCCACCCCCCCACCCGTGTTTCCCACCTAAAGAGGCCCCCTTCTTGTGTTTAGCTGTGGGACCCCTCCTTCTCAAATCAGATCCACAATCTTCCCATTTCAGGGTGCAGGAAACTTCAGTTATTGGAGCTGCGGGCACTAGGTGCTTTCATACACCCAACCGCCTCCTGTCCTCACAACACTGAAGGTTGTGCTTTAGACGCTTTCCCTGAATAGAGCTGCTTTTCCTTGCCTCTGCCCCTTCCTCCCCTTTTAGAGCAGCCAGTGGTCCCTCCTCCCACCAGAGACCCCCCCCTCCCTGTTGTGCAGACTCTGCTGTGGGGGTAACTAATTATAGCTGAGCGTGGCTACTCACTCCCCATCTATACTGGCACAGCCTGTACTCCAATCTCCCAATACAGCGTTTATGTAGGAATCACTTAGCCTAGAATTTGGCCCCCCGCCCCCTCCCTATACACACTGCTGGCTGGGGAAAGGGGGCTGGGCATGAGCAGAACTCCTCACTCTGCTGTGGCAGCCCCAGATTAATAATAATTGAAAGTGTGGCTTGAAATGCCTCAGGGAGTCTGATTTTGCCAGAAAACTGGCTTCTGTGATGGGTATTGGATGGCAGGGCAGGGGTTGGTGCATACTCTGGAGATGAGGATAGAATAGGGACCCTGAAGTGGGGGCAGCAAAGGTAGGGATGAGTGTGGGGAGATCCATGACTGAGCTTCCTAGAGGCCCCTGAGCTCTGAGAGAAAAGTGGGAGGAGCCTCAGAGTTGGAGGCCAAGAAGGAGGTGGCGTTTGCTGAAAATCTCTGAGTTGCAGGAGAGTTCCTCTCTTACTTAAGGTTTATAGCAACAACCGTAGTTTCCCCCATAAATCACAGCGCTTTTTCTAGCTTGGGTGACACATCCTTTGGAGGTAGGAGAAGAGAAAGAGCCTCCTTCACCGTAGCCAAAAAAATCCTCAGAGAGGAGGGGAAAGATATGCAGAATGTTCAGGGACGTGTTCCCCAGCTTCATTGCTAGGAGTGTTTTTTTTTTTTTCTTTCTTTTATTTAACAGGAGCCCTGGTGGCACAGTGGGTAAGAGCTATGGCTGCTAACCAAAAGGCTGGCAGTTCGAGTCCACCATCTGCTTCTTGGAAAGTCTATGGGGCAGTTCTACTCTATCCTGTAGGGTCGCTATGGGTCAGAATCGACTCAATGGCAACAGTTTTTTTTTTTTTTTAATTCAACAAATCTTTATGTACAGCTCCCTATGTGCCAGGTACTGCCCTAGGCCCTGTGGGTACAACTTCCAAAGGGCAGTGCCATGGCATAGGGTCTCACACAAACTAACATGGAGGCCTCTCCCAGGGATTATATGGTAAGAGTTGTGATGTGTTCACTCATGGTCTCGGCTCAAAGGAGAGCCAAAAGAGTTTATTTTAGGGGACAAAGGTAGGAGTAGGCTATAGTGCTGGAAACCCTTTTCTTACCCTGTCCTCTTTTCCTAGGGACAGATTTGTTATTTTTCCCCCAGAGTCATATTTAATTAACATTTGTTGAGCATCTGCCATGTGTCTGAAATCATGCTAGGCACACTCACACTTCATATCATTTCATCCTCACCCTTTGTAATGGGTATTTTTCCCATATTACAGAAAAAATTGAAGTTCAATTGAATTGAATAATTTGCCTGAGATCACACAGAAAGTGAAGAAGCTGAGAGAATACCTGGAGGCCTTCTGACTGCTAAACCCAATACTTTTTCAACTATTGAGTCCTTAGAGAGCCTGTATAATGAAAAGCACATTGGGCTAGGAGGTATACAATGCTCCAAGGAGGTATAACGTGCATTATGGTCTAGATAGGGCGGCAGGACGTAATATAATGATGGTGGATTCTAACTGCTGACATTTTGGTTAGCAGCTGAGCTCTTAACCACTGTGCCACCAGGGCTCCAATATAATGACAGGCAACATTTATTGAAGGAGTCCCTAGGGGCGCAGTTAAGCACTCCACTACTAACCAATAGGTTGGCGATTGGTATCTACCCAGAGACGATCTGTTTCCGAAAGGTCACAGCCTTGAAAACCCGATGGAACGCAGTTCTGCTCTGTACGCATGGAGTCATCATGAGTCAGAATCAACTCGGCAACTGGTTTGGTTTTTTTTTTCTTTTTAAACGTTTATTGAGGGTTTACTATAAGGTGCTGTGCTAACTGCTTTTGAGTAGATTATTTTGTTTAATCCTCACAACAGTCCTATAAGATCATTACTGTTTTTACTTCCCTTTTGTTGAGAAGAAAACTGAAGGTCAGAGAGGTGAAGCTATTTGCCCCAAGCATTTATTTTAGGGGACTAGTAAATGGAGGAGCTAGGGTTTGAACTCAGGCAGCTTGATTCCAGAGCCCCTGCTTTTACAGCTGTGTAATGCATACAAATATACTAGGTAGTATCTGATGAGGTTCAAATAATTATGGATAAGGGAGGTTAGAGAAAGGCAAGAAAGGCGAGTTCCCCTGAGGATGAGCGTAGAGAGGAGAGGGCATTTATAGGGGAAAAAGCAAGGAAAGGCCTAGGCTGCCATGGCATGATAGGAATGCCAAGAAACAGGCACATTTGGTTGCAGGAGAAGGTTTGTAGCTCTAGAGGTTGGAGATTCTGGGAAACCTGCATATCTTTTCTCCTTTCTAGGTCCCAGGGTCAGGGGTCCTGACCTTAGGTAACCCACAACTGCGTGTGGGTGTGGGTGTCCCATAAACTATCAGTTACCTCCTGCCCTCTTCTTGCATTGTAGTGTTTCACCTATCCCGGAAGGTGACATCTCTGGTTCCTGAGAGCTGCCTGCTGATTTTGCTGGGCCTGGTGCTAGGGGGCATTGTCTTGGCCGTGGCCAAGAAAGCTGAGTACCAGCTGGAGCCTGGCACCTTCTTCCTCTTCCTGCTGCCTCCTATCGTGCTGGACTCCGGCTATTTCATGCCCAGCCGGCTGTTCTTTGACAACTTGGGTGCCATTCTTACCTATGCTGTGGTGGGCACACTCTGGAATGCTTTCACAACAGGAGCCGCCCTCTGGGGCCTGCAGCAGGTTGGACTTGTGGGTGAGTGACTCTAAGACCTGGGCTGGCAGAAGGAGGATTTGCCAGCCATCACCCCACTTCCCTCTTCTCCAGATGTAGAGGTCCCACGTGGGTGAGAGCTGTGCTCTGGGAGCCCTGCCGTAGGTCCCCTCCAGGCCCACCTGGAGTGAAAGCCACCACCCCAGATGGGCCTCCAGCCCTTGTTTACGTCTCTGCCAGTCAAGTCTAGGATTCTGCAGCAAGACAGCTGAGCAGGCCTGGCTCCCAGCTGTGTGTGGGCTGCTGAAGCTGGGGAGCCCGCATCACCACCCTGCTGCCTCCTGCCCTTTGTTACCACACTGTCACTTGCCAATCCTGCTTCCCTGAGGCAAGCTCACCACTCCTGCAAGGGCCTCCCGTCCTGGCTCTGCCCAGGCCGTGTCAGGGTGGTTTTCTGCTTTTATTATTATTTTTAATAAGTATATTTTATATATCCACAAAATACAAGGCACTATACTGGGTGTTCCCCGTTATCCTATTGACTCTTCCTAACAACCCTGTTGGGGTATAATTTGTCCCACTGAATGGGTTAAGCCCTTAAATTCATTTGATATCCTGTCCAAGGTTAGCAGGAGAGGTATATTTTTCTGAGGCTCCTTGCCTTCAGGCCACCCTGTCCTGCTCCCTTCTTCCTCATTTGCTGCTCCGAGAAGTCCATTCACCTCAGAGAGGTCATGTGATAGAGCCAACATCACACATCCGGGTCTTAGGCATAGGCAGCTTTGTTCAAGTCTCCTGACCTGCAGGCCGATGCCCTGCCTGCTGTCCCAGTTCCTCTCTGGGCTTCCTTGTTTTAACAGTGGGATAGAGGCTGTAGGAGCCTTGGTTGCCCTCACCCATTACTGGTCTGTCCCCCATCTTTCTCTCCAAAGCCCCTAGGGTGCAGGCTGGCTTGCTGGACTTTCTGCTGTTTGGGAGCCTCATCTCAGCGGTGGATCCTGTGGCCGTGCTGGCTGTCTTTGAGGAGGTGCACGTCAATGAGACCCTCTTCATCATTGTCTTTGGCGAGTCCCTGCTCAATGATGCAGTCACTGTGGTGAGAGTGCACGGCTGGCTGCCATTCCCTGACCCTAGGCTGTCACACTCTGACCAGTTGAGCTGTCTGAGGAATCAGCTCAGAGCCTCCCCCAGACCCCTGGGAAAAGAAGCATTCACCCTTTCTCAGCAGTCCCAATGCTGCCTCCCCCGCTCCACTCTTGACTCTTCTCACTCAGGTGCTGTACAAGGTCTGCAACTCCTTTGTGGAGATGGGCTCAGCCAACGTGCAGGCCACTGACTACCTGAAGGGAATTGGTCAGTATTTCCCCCCTCTCGGCTGGCATTGGAGGTCTTCCTCCCCTGGCTTGCTGAGGCCCTCCACCCTGGCATCAGTACAGAGGAGGCTGTTTGGGGTCTGCCTCACTCCCTTCCCTCCTCTATGGAGAACTGGGGTCCTGAGAACCAGAGCAGGAGGAACTTTTCCTGGGAACCAGGCTCTGGAATCCTGAACCCCGGGGAGTGTGGTGGGCATCATCCTCCACTCCCTGCCAGGCAGCAGTCTTGTCAGCCCGGGTAGGGTCCGGGCCAGGGGTCATGCTGACAACCCACTCCTCCCCCAGCCTCCCTGTTTGTGGTCAGTCTGGGCGGGGCAGCCGTGGGCTTAGTCTTTGCCTTCCTCCTGGCCCTGACCACACGCTTCACCAAGCGGGTCCGCATCATCGAGCCACTGCTGGTCTTCCTCCTCGCCTATGCAGCCTACCTCACTGCTGAAATGGCCTCCCTCTCTGCCATTATTGCGTGAGTCCTGGGGGCCTTGCAGGCAGGCAGCTGGGAGGGGGCACAGGAGATGGTTGCCCCTCATAGGGATAGAAGCAGGACCCTGAGGAGTCCATAGGTTTCCCTGAGCCCTCATGGTAGCAGGAGCCTCAAAGTCCCCTGGCGAGACAGTGAGCCTCAGGTAATGTTCCAGACATCTGTCCCCAGAATTCTTCTGGGCACCCCAGAACCCAATCTTTCTCCACTGGAAGTCTCACTGGGGTGTGGGCTGAGCTGGAAGTGAAATCCAAGGCCTGGTGCCTCTGGCTCTGGTGGCCACAGCACTCCAAAAGGGGCTTCCAGGAGGCACTTATCCCAGGACTACCACTAACTGCTGTGTGTCCTTGGGACAGTCCCATGCCCCTCTGGGCTTCAGCTCTGAGAGTCTGGCATCCTGTGATGGGCAACCCCCCTCCTGTAGCATGTTCAAACCCCGGAGGCCATGCCCTGCCACCCTCCTCACTTGTCCTCTCTCTCTATCCCTCTCCCAGGGTGACCATGTGTGGCCTGGGCTGTAAGAAGTATGTGGAGGCCAACATCTCCCATAAGTCGCGCACAGCTGTCAAGTACACGATGAAGACTCTAGCCAGCTGCGCTGAGACTGTCATCTTCATGCTGCTCGGCATCTCGGCTGTGGACTCTTCTAAGTGGGCCTGGGACTCTGGGCTGGTGCTGGGCACCCTCATCTTCATCCTGTTCTTCCGAGCCCTCGGTATTGTTCGCACCCTCTGCTTTCCCTCTCTCCTTCCTGCCCTGCTTAACCCCACCCCCTGCAGCTCAGCCTCCAATTTGAGTCCTCATCCCTGTCAACTCCTCTGTCTCCTCCTGCTGCTCACCTCTCCCAGCCCCTTTAAGACCTTAGCTTGGATCCTTGGTGCCCTCCACTCCCAACGCCCTGCTCCCACTGGCCTCCCTCCTGCTGTAGGCGTAGTCCTGCAGACGTGGGTGCTGAATCAGTTCCGGCTGGTTCCTCTGGACAAGATTGACCAGGTGGTGATGTCTTATGGGGGCCTGCGGGGGGCTGTGGCCTTTGCTCTCGTCATCCTACTGGACAGGACCAAGGTCCCTGCCAAGGACTACTTTGTGGCCACCACTATTGTGGTGGTCTTCTTCACGGTCATCATACAGGTGGGAGTGCCCACAAGACTGGGTGGGGAGAGGGTCTGGCAGGCCCTGGGGGAGTCTTGGAGCTTCTGGGACTGGGGCTTCTCTTCCTATTGGGGGATGCAGGGGCCTGCCTTCCCTGACCTTGAGTGCAGTACAGTGGCGGTACAAAAGCTAAGGCCTAACCGTGGGGAGAGGAAGGCAGCAGAGAACTGAACAGGGCAGGGCTCACCTACTGCCTGTCCTCAGGGCTTGACCATCAAGCCGCTGGTCAAGTGGCTGAAGGTGAAGAGGAGTGAGCATCACAAACCTACCCTGAACCAGGAGCTGCATGAGCACGTGGGTACAAGAATCCCCTCCCTCCGCCTGTCCATTCCTCCCGTCTTCTATTCTGGGAAGAGTCCTGATCCAGTCCCCCTACCCACCCCTCTTCTAGACTTTTGACCACATTCTGGCTGCAGTGGAGGACGTTGTGGGGCACCATGGCTATCACTACTGGAGGGACAGGTGAGGGAGCTGCCCCTGAGGCTCCTTCAGCAGCAGCAGCCCCACCAGCCAGGGCAGCATGGGCCATGTGCCACACTTCTGAGAAGGGCACAGCCAGGCTCAGGCGGGGTGACCCTGGTTGGAAGCCCTTCAGTGGCATCCCAGTGCTCTCAGAATAAGGCGCCCCAGTATGGCCTGCCCAGCCCTGTGTGCTTTGGCACCTGCCAGACTCCCAGCCACATTGTGCTCTGCCCTCCCCTTTACTGTCTGCCTGCTCATCACTGGGACCATTTTAGAACCTCAGGACTCACCATCCACAACCCGCCCCCCCCCCACAACACAACACACACACACACACACACACACACACACACTGGGCTTTGCAATATTGTTCTCTTGTTCTCACTTGGCTACCCTTCGCCTACTTCTACTCATGCTTCAAATCTCCCCGTAGACATCAATTCCTTAGGGAGGCCTTCCTTGTTTTCCCTGACCAGGACAAATCCCAATACACTCTATAATTCTCCTTTATAATTCTTGTCATGGTTTCAATTTCACAGTTATTTGTAATAACTTCAGTTAATCTTAGGCTTCCTCATAACACTGGAAGTTCCATACATGCAGGGATTATCCTTGAGGTTCCCCTGGCTGAGGCCCACACCAAGAGAGCCAGGCCAGTGCTGGTGGTGGCCCTGCCCCATCTGAAGAAGGGCCAGCCAGCCAGGCCTTGGGGATGGCACTCAGGGCCAGGCCTGGCATCCTCTGTAGGTGGGAGCAGTTTGACAAGAAGTACCTGAGTCAGCTGCTGATGCGGCGGTCAGCATACCGCATCCGGGACCAGATCTGGGATGTGTACTACAGACTCAACATCAGGGATGCCATCAGCTTTGTAGACCAGGTGGGCCAGCAGTCAGTGGTGGGTGGGCAGAGGGCTAGCAGAGCAGGGCTGGAGGGGCAACAGGCAGGCAGGCCCCAGTGAAGAGTTGGGAATTCCCAGCTGGCTCCATAATCTTGTGACGTGGCAGCTGCAGGAACCAGGCTGCCCTTGTGCTGACTGTCAGCGTCTGGCAGACATAGTAGAAAAATGTGGGAAACAGCTGGACTCTAGAGTCAGCAGATTGGGTTGAATTCTTATCACTTAAGTCATATCCTTTCTGAGCCTCAGTTTCCTCAACTGTAAAAAAGCGGGAATAAGAGCGCCCATGTCATAGTTTTGCGGATTTAATTAACATGTAAAGTGCCTAGCACAGAACCTGGCACATCAAAAGAGCAAAATAAGTGTTAACTATTGTTATTCCTTTTATTACCTTTCCGACTGTCTGGGCCATCTTCCATCTGACCTCTGTCTTGACCCCTGCTTCAGGGAGGCCACGTCTTATCTTCCACAGGGCTCACTCTGCCCTCGATGCCCAGTCGCAATTCTGTGGCAGAAACTTCTGTCACCAACCTGCTGTGAGTCCTGAGCCCCCTTCTCCTTCTTTAAGCTCCTTTCCATTGGGCCAACTCTCTGAAGAGTTGTCGGCACCTTTGTTTCTGCCCTTCCCCTGGCCTGTGTCTCCTACCCCTCCAGCATCCACCTTCCCCCCACCCTGCAGGAGGGAGAGTGGCAGTGGAGCATGTCTGGATCTGCAGGTGATTGACACGGTGCGCAGTGGTCGGGACCGTGAGGACGCTGTGATGCATCACTTGCTCTGCGGAGGCCTCTACAAGCCGCGCCGCAGGGTGAGAGCAGGCATAAACCAGAAAACCAAACCTACTGCCGTTGAGTCAATTCCGACCCATAGCAACCCTAGAGGACAGAGTAGAACTGCACCATAGGGTTTCCGAGAAGCAGGTAGGGCACAAGAAAGGCAGTGTGGATCAGGCGAGGTGATGGTGATCAGAGGTTCAAGAGGTGGTTGGTGCCAGCATGTGGAGAGCTGTCGGTGCCCAGTTGAAGAACATGGGCTTCATCTTGTTGGTAAAGACAAGAAACTTTTGGTTTTCTTTTTATGAGAAAGTTTTTTTTTTTTTTTTTTTTTGCCTGCTACAAGCACTGTTTAAGGATGCCTTCTCTGGTAGCAGAGTGCAGATCAAATTGGAGGGGGTGAGCTGAGAGGCCAGGGAGCCAGTTGGGAAACTGGAGTGAAACACTGTGGATTCAAGCTGGGTGATGGGAAGGGAGAGGAGCACATAGGACTAGGTGGTTGGCCCTGCAGGGGAAAGGAGGAGATGGAGGACAGGGTCCCTGCAGGTAACTGGGAGAATGATGGGGTCACAGATGGAAGCAGGAGTGCTGAGGAAGCCCGAGGGACCAGCTAGTATGGGGAAAGCAGACATCTGTTTTAGCTAGTGTTAGTCGAACGCAGATCCTAAATCTTTGGGGCTGGAAGGGTCCAGTTCATCCAGGAGGGAATCTGTTGTAACCCTCACAAGGGGGCAGCAAGCCATTACCTTGAACCTTTCTGAACTTGGAAGCTAGCCATTACCATTCCTAGCAGTCTTAATAGTCAAGGCTCTTTCTATGGTTGAGAGAGTTGGCTTCCTTTAACTTGTACGCACTGGTCCTGATTTGACTCTCTGCAGCTCTGCAGAATAAGTCTTTAAAGGTTTGAAGACAGCTTCCTCCCAGGCCAGCATCTCCTGTCCCCTGCATCATCCTGGTGTGTCTTCTCTAGTCACGAGAAATGGGGCCCAGAATAGGAGGTGCTGCTCTAGCTGTGGTTGGCCAGGGCAGGGCAGAGGGCTTTCTCACTTTTCTCATTCTGGAACTTGCCATTCTCTCTCTTCAGCTCAGGATCCTTCCACTTTGACTCACTACCCTGGGCCCCTGTATTGTCCTTACAGTCAGGCAAACCCCCATGTCTTCCTCATGTTGTTAATGGGTGTCAAACTCTGTCTCCTCCAACCTGGTTTTTTTTTTTTAAAACATTCTTATGGAAAATTTCAATATACAAACTAGAGAATAAAATAATAAACTCCCATTTATTCATTATCCAGCTCCAAAAATTATCAATGTATAGCTTGTTACATGCAATAACCCCACCACACCTTACCCACACTTTATTATTTTAAAGAAAATCCGAGTTATCATCTCTAAAAATTTCAGCATGTGTCTCTAGGTGGTAAGAACTCTTTTAAAAATTATATATAACCGTAGTACCATTATCATTTACAAAAAATAACAATAATTCCTTCTTATTATTAAGTACCCAGTCAATATTCAATAAATATCTTTTTACAGCTGGTTTGTTCAAATCAGGATCCAAATAAAGTCCACATTTTGCATTTCATAAATATGTCTCGTCATTAAAATAAAAATCTATAATAATTCCTTCTTCCCCTTTCTTCCCCTTGCTATTTATTTACTGAGGAAACTGGATACTTTATCTTGGAGAATTTCCCATTTTCTAGAGTCTGCTGATTGTATTCCAATGATGTTGTTTAACATGTTCCTGCATCCCCTATATTTCCTGTTCAGATTCAGGAACATTCAATAGGTATGCTATGTATTTTTTTTGTATCACATCAGGAAGTACATAATGATTGGTGGTCTGTCTGTGTCTGTGTGTAAGAATGGTCAGTGTGTTCAGCCCAACCAGTTCTTACGTAGTCAATCAAAAAAAAAAAAAACTGGAGTAAGATTTTGCTTATCCCTGTTAAATGTCATCTTATTTGATTTAGCCCATCATTCCATCATCGGATCCCATTTCTGCCATCAGATATCTCCTTCTCAGATTCACATCATCTGAAAATTTGCTAAGCCTGTTAACAGATTAACATAAAAACGCTGAACAGGATAGCGCTGAGGACAGAGCCCTGTTGTATGCTCCTAAAGACCTTCTTTCAGATTGACACGGATCATGCATTTTTGGGGTATGCTTACTCAACCAGTTCTGAAGCCACTTAGTTGTACCATAACACAATCTGTAATTCTTCATGTTCTTCACGTCATTGGAGAGAGAAAAGTGTCTAGTATGCAATTAGAAATATAAGCTTATACACTGAAACCTGTGGGAGTCGGAACTCAACGGAACTGCCTTCTTTTTCTGGGTCTTGAAAGTTTCTGCCTTTGACAGGGTGCAGTCTTAACACTTTTTTTATTGCTCCTTTTAGTGGAAAATATTTGAATTTTCTTTCTCTGACAGCTTTCCACCTTACACAGGTTCCAGCTTTTGTAGGTTTTACTATAGTTTGAGAGGTAAGGGCTGGAGATAAAGATTTGGAAGCCATCTATATCAGGTTTCCTTGCCTGGCTACATCACAGTCCCCTGGGGAGTTTGCTAGAATACATACTCCTGGCTTCACTTTCTGGAGATTCTGAATTTGTGTAGTAAACTGTATAGTCTAGAGTGGATCTAAAAATCTGTATTCTTAATACGTACCCCAGGTGATTCAAATGCAGCTGACTGACAGCTAGTGTTTGGGAGCCACAGGTCTATATCACTGGGGTAGCTGAAGCTGAAAGACCGGATAAGTTCTCTGGGGTGACCATTCAGAGGGAGAGAGGAGGGCCAAGGATAACACTGTTAGGAATGCACAAGGAAGAAAAGGAAGGGGAGCTGGTGAAGGAGGAGAGGGAAGGAGCCCTTGGAGAAGCAGTAATAGATGGTGTCTCAGAGGCCTGGGTGAAAGGAGGGCTGGATGCTGCCCAGAGGTCAGGCCAGGGCTCAAGCAGAGGCCATGGAACTGGTGACCAGAGAGAAAGCAGTCTGGTATTTAAGGAAGTAATGGGTCTGAGAGAAAGTGTCAGAATCAAATTATAAAAGTTTGATGGCAAAAAGGAGAGAATGGGGTCAATGAAAAGGCTTTCTTCAAGGAAGAAAAGGCCGGCACATGCTTGAAAGCAGAGGAGAGGGATCCAGTGGTGAAGGAAAAAGTGAAGACAGATTGAAGGAGAGTGGAGAAATGGAGGAAGCGAGGAAGTGATGGGGCTGGAAGGGGTGAGGAGTGATGAGCCTGTGAAGGAAGCTCCGGTCTCCTGGCACTTCAAATCAGAGAGAAGGGAAAAGGCAGAGGGGATGGCCAATCTGGATTTGAGGGGATAAGTTCTGGGTTAAGGTAGTTTTCTCCCAGTGAACTGAGAATGCGGAGTCCCCGGCTGGGTCACTATTGCACTTTTTTTTTTTTTTTTTTTTTAATCCATGGCTAGTTCTGGAAAAGCCCTCTGGCAGGGTTTATGGTAAATATGTTGGGGCCATAGGCTTGGGTCCCTGTGGGAGGCCAAGGCACCCAGCATCATGGCAGGGTGGTACTGTCATTGCCAGTACAAAGCAAGCTGCAGCCGCCACTTTATCTCAGAGGATGCTCAGGAACGCCAGGACAAAGAAGTCTTCCAGCAGAACATGAAGCGGCGGCTGGAATCCTTCAAGTCCACTAAGCACAACATCTGCTTCACCAAGAACAAGCCGCGACTCCGCAAGCCTGGCCACAAGAAGGCACGTCCTTTCCTGGATTCCTGTTTGGTGCTGGAGGCTGACAGGCAGTTTTGAGCCCCCAAGTGTTGGAATCCAGCTTAGAGGGGCGTACATGGATATCCCTGCCCTCAGGGACTTGCTAGTTATAGCAGTTTGGGTTACCTTTTAGAATTTCCTGGAACCCCAGAAGGGTAAGGCAAGGCCTTCAGAGAGAGATCAGCTTTTTAGCTATGTGGTCACCTGTTGGGAGGCAGCAGGGCCTCCTACCCTGAGGGGTAACTCCATGAGCCCCTAATTCTGCCCAGGCTGAAGCTTCCAGAGCCCTTGCTGAGGCAAGGGTTACTTAGACTCTACCAACTCTTGCCTAGCTGGCCAAGGGATGGTAAAACCGTTGGACCTGACCAACCCAGACACAAATTCTCCCCCTGCTGGGTCAGGAAGGCTTGTCCTCCTGTTGACCCTACCAGAGGACAGGGTTGGGGTCTGGGAGCCAGGGCCAAAGGCTCAGGTTTTCTTTCTTGGTCCTCAGAAGGATGGTGTGGCTAACACTGAGACTACAAATGGGAAACCTCCTCGAGACCTGGGCTTTCAGGACACAGGCAAGCAGGGAGCTGGGGTGGGGTTGAAGATGAGAGGGAAAGGGCAGAGGCCCATCAGCCAGAATCCTGGAGGCCCTCTTCTGTGGTGTATTCAGCACCATAAGCTGGGCTTGTCCTCTCTGGGACTAGATGGCAAAGTTGATTTCAGAGTTGGAAATGCTCAAAACAGCTATTGGACCTTTGTGACAGGAGGTGACTTATTAACTATGAGCTACAGGCCCTAAGGACTTGAACAATGTAGAAAAGGTGTCATGTGGAGAAGGGGAAGCTTTGAAGGATGAGTGGGCCCTGGGGCCCAGTGTCCCTGTCTACAAAATGAGGAGTTTTGATGAGCTTAACTTTAATGGGCCTTCCAGCTCTCAAAATGCTCCCATTTCCAGTTGATGATGGGATCTGGGTCTGAGAGGAGAGACTGGGGAGCTGGAAGGTCTGATTTCCCTCACGGCTTTCTCCAAGGACCTTGCCTTCTTTGGTTGCCTCCTTGGGCTTTGCAGTCACACTTCCCTTCCTCTCTCAAGCCCCCCACTCTGCCCCAGCACTGTTGTCCACCCTGCCCCCTCACAGTCTGGTGAGGAACATGAGGTAGTAAGCCTACCCGGCAGATGAAACAGCCAGAGGAGAAAGCAGGTGCCTCTGCCAACCATGGGCTCTGCGTGGGTGGACAGGGAGCCACCAGGGGAATGTGAAGTACCTAGAGGCAGATGCTGGACTGACTGCCCCAACTCTGCTCTTGTCCTTGTCCAGCTGCTGTGATAGTAACCTTGGAGTCTGAGGAGGAGGAGGAGGAGAGCGACAGTTCAGAGACAGAGAAGGAGGATGATGAAGGGATCATCTTTGTGGCTCGGGCCACCAGCGAGGTTCTCCAGGAGGGCAAGGTCTCAGGTAATGGTGTCCTCCCTGCCTCCCTCCCCTCCGGAGCAATCTGGGCTGTGCAGTTGGCTCCTCCCTCTTCACTCCTGGCCTCCACTCCAGACAACTCTTTTTTCCTAGTGGTTAAGAGCTCGGCTGCTAACCCAAATGTCGGCATTTCTACTCTGTCCTGTACGGTCGCTATGAGTTGGAATTGACTCAACAGCAATGGGTTTGGTTTGGTTTAATGTATTCACCAACCAGCATTTACTGAGGATCTCCTCTACATCAGACATTTGACATGATCTTATTCAACTCTCACAACAACCGCAATGGGGAAACTGAGCTCGAAGAGCCTAAGGGACTGTGTGTTGTCAGCGTCACACAGCAGAACCAGAATGTGAACTTGACCCATGTGACTCCAAAGGCAACAAACAGCCTTTTCACTGCCACGCTGCCCCCTTCACAGTCTGGTGAGGAACATGAGGTAGTAAGCAAACCTAACAGCAGGCTCTGTTTCGACCATACTCAGCACACTTGTCCTCAGGAAGAGCCCCTGGTGAGGGTGGCAGCCTGACCTGGAAGAGGAGGCTGAGTTAATCAATATGGAATTACTGTGGGCAAAAAACCCATATATGTGTTTCGATACTTGAGGACTTAGTTCACTCATAATGCTAAATATCACTACTGGTTGGCCCAGGCACACTCAGGTGTTTTTTTTTTTTTTTTTTTTATTATTTTATTGTGTTTTTGGTGAAGGCTTACACAGAGTTTAGGTTCCCATCCAACAATTTCTACACAAGTTGTTCAGTGACATTGGTTACATTCTTCACAATGTGTGAACATTCTCATTATTTCTGTTCTAGTTGTTCTGTTTCCATTAATCTAGTTTCCTGGCCCCCTAACAGTCTCATCTTTGTTTTAAAGTAATTGTTGACTGGTCTCATATGAGCGATTTTTTTAAAGGAGCACAGTACTTACGGTTGATAGTCATTATTTTTTGAGCCAGTTTGTTAGCTACAAGGTGACCTCAGGGGTTAGTTTTGGTTCAACTTAGGTGTCTTTTTAAAATGTTTTATGATTAAAAAAAAAATTTCAAAATATACAATGGTAGACAGAACAGTAAAATAAACTCCCATTTATCCATTACCCAGCTTCAATAATTACCTACTCATAGCCAATCTTATTTCATCTCTACCCCCATCTATACCCTTCTCCCCACTGGGTTCTTCTGAAGCTTATCTCAGATATTATTTCATCAATAAATACTTCAGCATGTATCTCTAAAACATAAGGATTCTTTTTAAAAACATACAAGCACAATACCATTATTATACCTAAAATCTTTGTCATCAAACATCCAATGTTCAAGTTTCTCTGTTTTGGTATTTTTTACAGTAGGTTTGTTCAAATAAAGACCCAGATCAAGCCCACACATTGTATTTGGTTGATAAGTCTCTTTTAGCCTACAGCTGTTGTTCTCAAGTGGGCAAGGGGAGCAATTTTGTCCCCTAGGGGACTTTTGGCAATATCTGGAGACATTTTTGGTTGTTACAACCAGGGGGTACTACTTGCATCTAGTGGGTAGAGGCCAAGGATGTTGCTAAACATCCTGTAATGCACAGGACAGTCCCCATCACAAAGAATTATCTGGCCCATAATGTCAATAGTGCCAAAGTTGAAAAGCTCTGATCTACAGGTTCCCCTGCCTTCCCCCCCCGCCGCCTTTTTTTTTTTTAACCTTGCCATGTGTTTTCTCTTTCTCCTCCTTTTCTCTTTCTACTTCCTCTCCCCCTCCATCTTCTTTTCTTTTTTTTTTTTTTTTTTTTGAAGAAATCAGGTCATTTGTCCCTAGTCTTTCCCTGTCTGGATTTTGTTATTGCATCCCCAAAGTATCATTTAATATCTTTCTCTGTCCCCCATTATTTCAAATGGTACTTAAATCTAGATCAGATTTCAGTTTTAATTTTTTGGTAAGAATGCTTCATAGATGGTGATGGCGTACTTCCTGCTGCATTACATCTGGAAGCACATACCCTCTGGTTGCTTTTTGTGAGGTTAACATTTATCAGTGAGTTCAGATATTATTTGCCTGATTGATCCATTATCAAGCTCCCCATCAGCTTTCCACCAAACAGTTGTAGCAGCCACTGATCCTTGCCAGAGCCAACATTTCATTAGGGGGTGCACAATGATAATATTCTATATCTACTTTCCATCTGCATTTATTAGCTGGAATCTTCCATAAAGAACTTCCCCTCATCAATTTGGCTACTTTCAGCTTCAGTTCATACAGGAAAGAATGGCTAATTGATTTTTTGTTTTACTTACCAGTTTTCAGACTAGTGAGTTAGTTCCCCAATACCCTTTAAATGTGGACACTGCATTTTTAAAAGATTTTTAATATTCCAGATCTTTCAAGGGATATTGTTTTTACTTTTAATCACAGCCATCGATACATGTCATAATGTGCTCATTCAAGAAGTTACTGGACTGCTCTGGATTTAATAAACAGATACATACTGAACCAGTTGCCATTGATTCTGACTCATGGCAACCCCATATGTGTCAGAGTAGAACTGTGCTCCATAGGGTTGTCAGTGGCTGATTTTTTGGAAGTAGATTGCCAGGACTTTCTTCCAGGCACCTCTGGGTGGACTTGTACCTCCAACCTTTCATTGCATCACCCAGGGACTCCGATATATATTGTTAGGTGCCTTTAAGTAGATTTCGTCACAGTGACCCCATGTGTCAGAGTAGAACTGCCCCACAGGGTTTTCTAGGCTGTAATCTTTATGGGAGCAGATTGTCAGGTCTTTCTCCTGTGGAGCTGCTGGATGGGTTTGAACCACCAATCTTGCCGAGCATGTAACCATTACACCACCAGGGCTCCTTCTGATATATACTGAGCACCTATATGCAAGCATTGTGTTTGGGTTTGGAGAGCTATGGGGGTAGGTGGCCAGCAAGCTTCTCGTTCCCAGACTTCTTGTAAGGCAGTGGCCTCACGCATGGCTGAGCCTGAGCCTCCAATCCTGCTGCCAGCAATTCTGGGCTTCTCGGCTCAGTCTCAGCTTTGCTCCGTTGTCTTTTGCAGCCCAGCTTTAGCCTGCTGTTAGGTTTGCATGAGCTCACACTCCTGGGCTCTGTCCCACAGAGGGCTGTGGTAGGAGCTCAGGCAGGGGGCCCAGCAGCAAAGCCTTTAGCACGGAGCCTAGTTGTGAAATGAATTTGTGAAAAAGTACTTAGACAAAGGACCCCACTCTGTTGGTAATGAGCTTATGTGTACTCTCTGTCCCCAGGGAACCTCGAAGTATGCCCAAGCCCACGCGTCATTCCCCCCTCTCCAACCTGTGCGGAGAAACAGCTCCCTTGGAAAAGTGGGCAGGGGGACCTGGCAGTGTACGTGTCTTCGGAGACCACCAAGATCGTGCCTGTGGACATGCAGACAGGCTGGAACCAGAGCATCTCATCCCTGGAGAGCCTGGCCTCCCCGCCCTGTACCCAGGCCCCGACTATGACCCACCTGCCGCCCCGCCCTCTGGCCGCTGAAGAGCCCCAGGCCCCTCTCGCCCTGCCTTCTGATCCCCTCTTGAGCTTCGCATTCCCCCCGAGCCTGGCCAAGGCTGGCCGCTCTCGCAGCGAGAGCAGTGCTGACATCCCCCAGCAGCAGGAGCTGCAGCCCCTCATGGGTCAGAAGGACCATACCCATCTCAGCCCTCGTGCTGCCAACCCCCGCTGGTGCATCCAGTTTAACAAAGGGGGCCAGCTGTAGCCAAGGATTCGGCGGGGGACATGTTCCCTGTGCAGTGGGCAGAGAAGCCCACTCAGCCTGACGTGGGGCCAGTGGGGCCTGGACTGAAGTAGCAACTGGGCGCCAGCTCCCTTAGGGCAGGTCAGAGGAGTCTCCTGGGCTGGTCCTCATGGGTCCCCTCTCACCACCCTTGCTGCTCCTAACCCCTGCCACCTTTCCTTTCAGTAAGGCCCCTCCCCTGGCTCAGGACCCAGTTCAGAGCTTCTGGGGGTAGGCCTGAGACTTGAGTAGCTGATACCCCTTCCCCAGTGGGTCTTCCTATGGTCACTCTGGGCAGCTGCTGCCCCCAAAGCAAAGGCATCATTACTCAGCTGACATTGCCTGTCCTGCCCTACACCCGCTCCCCAGCACTAGCTCAGGGACAGTGCCCTGGCAGTGAGGGTCAGAGAGGCGTGGGCCTGGTAGTCCTCAGAGGGATTGGGATGGGAGGTAGAGCAGGTCTTAACCTTAGATCAGCTGCCCATAGCTGTTTTTTTTTAATTTAGGGCAGTGGGGGAATCTCTGTCCCCTCCCTTTGCTGCCAAGTATTGGGATGATGGGTCCTCCTTTTCTAGGACCAAGGCCACAGAGCTAGGCCAGGCTTCAGATCAGGGCTGCTTCTTAGCCAGGGTCACTCTGAGGATCTGCTGCTCTGGGTCCAAGTCTGGACCTTTTTGATTCTTGGGTCTGGGTTTTCTGGGGAGGGGAGACAAAAGCCTCTGGGCTCCCATGTCATCACCTCCACATTCCCAAAACAGGAAAGGACCCAGGTATCCCAGGGCCACTGATCCACTACTCTGGGGGCTGGGATCCTGGCTGTAGTGGTAAGTGGCTAACTGGGTGATAGGTGACTTTCCTGGGGTTAGCACCTGCCCTGTGTTTTGTACCTTGAGCCTAAGATACATTAAACATCTCCCAGGTGATAGGTGCCCTGTGTTCATGTGCCTGGGAGTTCTGGGGGTGGGGGGCAACAGGGGCATCTGATAAGGGAGGTGGAAACTTCCAGCTGCCTGTCCCAGGGCTTCTGGGATAGAGAATGGATCCTGGGCAGCATTGTTAGCCCATTTGGTCCTCCCTCACGCCTCCCCATACCCGTCCAGTCTTGTCCCCTCAGCAGGGGGCCTGCAGTAGCATTCCAGGGGCGTCCCTCTGCAGGCACAGGTCACAGCATTGAGAGTCCAAAAGTTGGGGATGGCTAGCAGGGAAAGGGACCCCAGAGGTCAGCTGCCCGAAGATGCAGTCACCACACACTGAGACCAGAGAAGCATTCCTCAAAAAGCTGGAGGTGGCAGGGATAGGACAAATGAACAGAGGTGTTCTGCAAATGGTGGGTGGGAGGGCAATCTCAAGAGAGCTGGTTACCCTGAGTGTTTATGCAACAAATCAGGTAGTACAGGGTCCAGAAACATGGCTAGAAATCCCTATATAACGGCAGTCCCATAATTCAATCCGCACTATGTCTGAAGGACTTTTTTCTAAAAAAGACATCTTCACTGAGATTTGACTCACATACCATAAAATTCACCTATTTAAAGTATACAGTTCAGTAGTTTTTACTCTATTCACAAAGTTGTGCAACCTTACATAATCTAAGTTTAGAACATTTTTATCATCCCCAAAATAAACCCCATACCCATTGGCAGTCAATCCTTCTCCCCAACCTTCCCCAGCCCTAGGGAACCACTCAGCTACTCTGTCTCTATGATCTAAAAGACTCTTGACACACTGAGAAGGTTACCAATTTAGTCAAACATTTCTGGGTTATGTATGGAGAAAACATGAGAAGGAAGAGTGAGTTAGGCTTTGCCCTCAAGGAGTTTACAGTTGGTAGTGATGAGACCTAGTAGTTAACAGTTTGGAGTCAGACAGTCCCAGTTCTCACTCACCAGCTATGTCATCTTGGGCATGTTCCATAATCTCTCTGAGCCTCAGTGTTCTCATCTTTAAAATGGGATAGTACTCATACTTATTTCATAAGGTGTCAGGATAAGGTTGGTGTCAGGATTAAATGATAAAACTGGGAAGAATCTAGTACAAGGTCTGACCCATGGCAAGGGATCATAAATGCTTGTCGTCATTGGTCTAATAAGGCAAGGCAAAGGTACATGTAAAAGAGCTGTGGGCGCTTGAGGAGAGCTGACAGGGTCTGGGAAGGCTTCTGGGAGTTTGTGTGTGTGTGTGTGCTGGGCTTCAGACCATGGGCTCATGGGCCCATGGGTGCATTCCAGGTAGACAGAGCAGCATAAACAAAGGATGCCCAGAGCACATGTGGTGAAAAGCAGCAAGCAGTGGGAGCTGTGGTTGGGAGGGACCAGCCAGCAACATAAAGGTGTGGGTGGGGAGACCCTGCTGAGTTCTAGGACCTACTGCTGAGTTCTGGAGGTGGCAGGGAGCTGGCTTGGGAGGACTGTTAGCTATGGAGTGGTGATGGCAGTAATGTGCTTTAGGGAGCTTAAGTGTAGCTGGTGCCAGGTGGAAAATGTACAAAACCCCAGGTGGAGGATAGCTTTGGTAGAAAGCCTGGCTAGCTATAGAAGACCTGTTGGGAGGTTGCTCTAGGAGCCCAGGGAACATGAAGAGGTTGGAGCTGGGAGGGTGGTGGTGCTGGAGGGGGCAGACTGTCATTCTGACTTTAGTGTAAGAATCACCGGGAGACTGCTGGGCAAATAGGGCTGATCAGAACCGAGCAGACTGGGGAAGGAAGCAAATAAGCATGGGCTTCTGGGAGACAGGACAGTGAGTAAGTCAAAAGCTCATCCATGGGTCACCACCTGATTGGGCAGGATAGGAGAAATGGCCTTCGGTACTGCCCGAGCTGATAGGAGATAGCGGAGCTGTCTCCCCTAGTTGGGATGACTGGGGAAGACTTGGTGAAGAAGGTGGTGCTGCATCCAGGCCTTGAAGGTGGAAGGATTTTGACCTGGGGGGTGGGCGTGGGCATTCCAGGAGAAAACTGTGACACAAAATTGTAATCAGGTAACATTTTGCCAATCCAGTATGGGAGCTAGACAGGAAGGCTGTATTGCCTCTGGATAGCCTTAAATGCCATAATGAGGAGTCTGGGTTTGAGTCAGGCCAAAGGTAAGAGAGCTGGAAAGTTTAGGGTATTTGTTTCCCTCACTATTTGGGGCTGTACTGCAAAGGGGTATACAAGGTTTGGGCTGAGGCAAGCGGATCAGAAGTCTCATCACCAGGCCTACTGAGGCACAGAGCCCCCATTTTATTTTTGACTGATTAATGATGGCAGGAACAGGAAGGCTGAGGGAGGTTTGGGGAAGAAGTAGGGGAGGGAGGCTTGTCCCCCTTGTATGATCTCAGTGGAAAAGGCTGCTGTGTATTGATTCTGCTGCCAGGAGAGCCACAGAGATGGGCCCCATGAGTCACTGCTCAGTCCTGCAAGCTCAGCCCACAGAGCCTGCTGTGGTCGGCTGGCCGGGCCGGCTCCAGGCCCAGTCCCCTCGTGTTCCCCACCCGGCCTCAGCCTGTCTGTCCCCATTGCTATTTGTAGTTTTGCTATCCCGGTGCTGTGCATCCTGCAGCTCTGCCTCTGAAACTGCCTCCATTTGCGACTCTGCTTTACATCTCAGCTCACAGATGGGAGCCTCAAGAGGGCAGGGGGAGGATGACCAGTCTCAGGCACCCCTGAGAATTTATTCTGTGCCAGGCCCTGTGCTGGGTGCTCAAGTAGAGACATGGACAACACACAGTCTCTGTTTTCAGGAAGCATAAACCAGGGCAGTCACTCCTTGGAAACCCTACGGGGCAGTTCCACTCTGTCCTATAGAGTCGCTATGAGTCGGAATCGACTCGATGGCAAAGGGTTTAATTTCTTTTGGTTTTTGGACCCTGCCTCTGTCTCAGTGTCTCTGTGCCTGTCCCTGAACCTGTCTGCCTGTGTGCAGGGATGCCTGGATCAGCTATGGCCTGTGGCTTGAGGTCTCTTCTTTGCCTCTAACATTGGGAGGGGTGTGTGTGCCTGCCAGCTCTTAGGGCTCCAGGGGGCCTGGTTGGTGGGTGGGGGTAGGCAGAGACAGTGGGCAGCAGAGGGGAGGGAGGCAGCAGGAGATAGTGACTCAGTGGGGGCGGCCGTGAGACAGAGTTGGGGAGGGGCCAAGGTTGGTCCAGCTGCTCATTGTAGCTTAAAGGAGGGTGAGGACAGTCAGGCTGGGGGTTAGGTTGGGACAGGACAACCCCAAGGTTCCTTTCTCGAAGCCAGACCAGCTCACGAAGGAGGCTCCTCAGTAGCTTGTCTGGGAGTCTGGACTCTATGCTGACATGGCAGCTGGGATGGGTGCGGGAGGACTGCTGTTGGCCTCACTGTGTCTGCTCCAGATGCTCAAGTTCCCTCCTCCAGCAGCCTCCGTGGGCTCATGATGGAGGCACTTGTCTTAGAGCCAAGGAAGATGTTACCACCACTGTCACCTCCTCCTGTCGAGGCCTGGACATTCTGTGGGGCACAGTGCCTTCTCTTGGCCACACAGCCAACCTTCCCACCATCTTCCCACAAATTTTGGGGAGAGTCAGGCCAGGCCCACATGCCCCAAAGGGCCCCTAAACCTTAGAGCTGGGAGTGATCTCACAGGTCATTTATCCAAGTGACTTTCACCAGTACAGGACCGCTTGACTGAGGGCAAAATGAAGGGCAGAGCATGAGCACAGCCCAGCGCCGGCAGTGAGCAGCCAGACATTTGACATATTCTTGTGGCAAACCCAGGAGAAAATAATGACTTTCTTTTTTTTATAGGTGAGGAAAGTGAGGTTCAAAGAGAAGAGCATTGCTGGAGCTCCCCTAGCAGGTAAGTGGAGGAGCCAGACCTGGGCTAGTCTCTCTGGCTCTAGGACCCCCTACCTCAACACCAGCCTCTTTAGCTGGGCTTTGGGTGGTGGTGATGAAAGAGTGAGGGAATAGTTGGAGGTGGAGGGTTGGGCCTGGTGGATTCTGGCAGGCCTGGGTCAGCTCCCACCTCAGAGGCTTCCCTGCCCCTCCCTCAGCCCCCATCCCATCATGGGCTCATTCAACCTGTCTATTCACAAAGAATAGACAACCTGGTGCCTGGGGACTGGAAGGAAGATGGGGGAGGGGCTGCAGTAACCCCCACCCTCCATGAAGATGCACCTACCGACTCCCTGCAGCCCCAAGCAGCAGGTCTGGACTCTGGGAGTCTAATTCTACGGACTTCCCTGGAACCTTGGGCCCACACTTTCTTCTTTGGGTCAGATTTCGGGGCTGTGAGGAAAAAGGGGTTTTTAGCCAGTCCTTGTCTCCCTGAGGGAGGCTGGCAGGCTGCCCTGGCACAGTGGGCAAGGCAGCTGACCTCCCAAGTCCACCATAATAGCCTTTCCCTGTGTGCATTCAAGAGCAGAAGCCCCTGCAAGCTCCTTCCCCCCATCCTGGGCGGACCCAGAAGCTCACTCACCCTCGCGCGACCCTCCACTGCCTTCCTCAGCGACGACCACTTCCAGCGCCTTCGCCAGGGCCCGGGAGTGGGCCCGGGCGGAACACCGGCCGTTGGTCGCTGCCCCTTACCGGCAACAGAAAAACCGAGGTTGGGCGTGGAAAGTCGGCTGGCCCCGCGGGGAGGTGGAGCCAAGCCATCTGGGCCCCTGGGGGCGAAGGGGGTGGCAAGCAGGGGCGCTGCGAGAGTCGGCGCCTCGGGTACTCTGAGGCCACTGGCGTCGGCCGTCGGGACTGACTGCGGCTCTGTCCTCCAGCCTCCAGGGGGCGGCGCGGCTCGGCGTATCTGCGGCCTTGCGTCCCTTCCTCCGCGGCCAGGAGGCGGCGCCCTTGGACGCCGGGTGGGCCGCGCTATACCTGCCGTCGAGGCCGCGGCGGTACGGTACGTTCGAGGGCTCGCTTTTCGCGGTTCGCCGCGGCGAGTCCAGCCGGCCTTAAGCGTGGCTGGCTGGCGAGCGAGGCCGCGCGCGGATTCCCGGGCGGAGGCGAGGGCCGAGCACAGCCGGAGGGAGCACGAGTGCGAGGCAGCGCCGTGCCCAGGTCCGTGATCATCCCACGGAGCATACGCCTGCCAAGCGTGGCCGGGAGTGCGTGGTCCCGCTGTGAACTTCCACCGGAACACGCTCACGTGAGCGCGGACGGCGGGGCCTGAGCAGAAGGGAGACTTCTGACGCGGTTCCTCCTCCCCAGGTCTGAACCGTAGCAGCTTCAGTGCCCTCTGCGCCCCCACGCTAGAGTGGTGCCTCCTGCGTCTACCTTCGTTGCCCACTGAGGCCTACCCGACCATCTTCAACTCGGTTCCTGGATGAGCCGGGGCCTTAATTCACCCCGAGGGTTCAGCTCCTCTTAAACTTGGTCCTGAGCAGGCTCACTCTTAGGGAAGGGTTGATGGAAAGGCCCCTGGAGGAGAGGGATGAGTCCCCGGACTTTCAGGTCCACGCCACTGACTGGAGATTTGCTGTGTGCAGTTTCATGGATGCCTGGGATGAGGAGGAGCCCACCCCCCACACGGAGGTTAAGGATCCCAGAACTCCAAAACCACCAGCAGGGGAACCTAAGGGTGAAGGGTTACAGGGCAGCCTGCTGTCTGGGGAGTTTCAGTCACCCCCAGAACTGATGGCTGCAGATGGGTCAGGGAATGGCAAGAAGGGCACATCAGAAGGTTCCTCAGCCCAGTCAGAGGACCCAGCCTCTTCTGGAGTGGAGAGCCTCCTATGCCCCATGTCATTCCACCTCAGCCTGGTAGAGGGTGGGAGTGACAGCCAAGGGGGAGACTTGGCAGGGGACCCAGGCGGGGTGGTGGCAGTCAGCCTGGGCCTTGAGGAGTTGGACAGTGACCCTGTGGACCTTGGAGACCCTTTGTCAGAGACAGCATCAGAGCTGCCGGAGGCAGGTAAGTGAGGCGGGGTCAGAGAAGTCTGGGAAGGGAGTAGGGGTGCCTGGAGGTGGGTAATGAGACTTCGGATGATTCTGACCGTACTCATGCCAAAGCCCATATTCAAGCCTCTCCCCAGGTTTGGGGCGAGGCCTCTGGGTCGGTGGCCTGATGTAGACTTAACTATTTCCCTTCCCAAGATCCCAGCGGATCCTGTCCCCCCACGTCCACTGACTGCCTCTTGGCCCAAGACCTTGCTTTTGAGCTGCTGGCCAGTGGCATGGCCACCTTGCCAGGTAGTGGAGAGGGACTAGGGGAGGTGAACATGGGGCAGCCCCATTGGGTGGGTGTTTACTGCCTCCCCCCCACAGGGACTCGGGATGCAGAAGGCCGGGCAGTGCTGCTTCTGTGCGCCCACAGCCCAGCCTGGCTTCACCCCAAGTGCAGCAGCCATGAGCTTGTCCGCCTCCTGCTCTACCTGCGAAGCATTCCCAGGTCGAGGGAGAGGGCTGGGAGATGGAACCTGGAGGGGGCAGGGCCTTGGAATTAGATCCTGAATGAAGTCCGCCCCTTTAGGCCCGAAGTACAGGCTCTGGGACTGACTGTGCTAGTGGATGCCCGCATTTGCTCCCCAAGCTCTTCCCTTTTCTGGGGGCTTAGCCAACTGCAGGTGAGTACAGCATTGTAACCACCCCCCCACCCCCTATTCCTTTCCTGCAGTGTTGGGGCAGGGCTGAGCTCAGATTTCTTGCAGGAAGTAGCTGCAGGGTCTGTGCACCAGGTGCTGCTAATGGGAAGGATGCCAGAGGAAGTGCCTTCCGGGCTGCAGGTACTGAGTGAAGTGGGCCAAGGTGGGGGTGGGGCGCCTTCCCAGCAGGCCTGGGTCACATCACCTTCTTCTCTTGCAGCTGGAGCACGTGCCCTCTCATCACAGCCTGCTGACCCACATCCCTACCACAGTGTTGCCCACTTCGCTGGGAGGAGGCCTGCCTTATTGCCATCAGGCCTGGCTAGACTTCCGGATGGTCAGTACAGTGGGTGGGGCATGGGGCATGGGGTGGGTATGCAGGCCACCTGGGCCAGTGGAGGAGCTGCTCCTGGTTTGGGTTGAGCAGGGCAGAGCTGGCTGCAGTGGCCTGGAATCCAGGCTGCCTGGGACCAGCACTGAGCACTGCTCTGGTCATGCCTGTCCCCTGTTCACAGCATCTAGAAGCTCTACTGCAGAGCTGCCAGGAGGTTTGTGCCCTGCTCCAGGGGGCCATTGAGAGCATGAAGGCGATACCCTGGCCCATGGAGTCTGGGGTGAGTGTCTGCTCCTGAAATCTCCCAGAATGCTCCCTGTTTCCCTTCTGCTCTGCCATGGCTACATTCTCTGCCCTGCCTGTTGTCCTCAACCCCAGGAAGTCAGCCAGCTGCTACGGCAGGTACGGGTCCTGATGCAGCAGGTGCTAGACTCGCCACGGCTGACATGGCTGCAGTGCCAGGGGGGCTTGGAGCTGGCATGGTTGAAGCAGGAAGTCCCAGAGGTTACCTTGAGCCCAGACTACAGGTAGGTGCCAGCCCAACTCTCAGATCTTGCCCCAGTGCAGCCCGCAGCATCCCATGCCAAGGATTCAGATGCTGGCCTAGAGCCAGCCTGGACTGTGGGTTTCAGGACAGAGTAGGGTGGAGCAAGGGCTTTAAGACCATGTGCCCTGCACCAGGTTGGCTGTGGATGACGCTGACAAGCTGTATGGCCATGTGGATAGACTGCTGCACCAACTGACCCTGCAGAGCAACCGGCGAGTCCATGCTCTGGAGTTGGTACAGGCGCTGGAGGCCCAGGAGGGTGCACTGCACCAGGTGGGAACTACCTGGCCAGGGCAGGGCTCACCCCGGATCTCAAGCCTGGTCCCACCCACAGCAGCTCTCACCTTCCTCTGTTTGTGCCCCTCCAGATTGAAGTGTGGCTACAGCAGGTGGGCTGGCCAGCACTGGAGGAGCCAGGGGAGTCCTCACTGGACATGCTGCTCCAGTCCCAAGGTTCTTTTCAGGAGCTGGACCAGGCTGCCCAGGTGAATTTGGTCACTTGATCATTCCACAGGTGGTGGCACACTGTGCCAGGGACTAGGAATGCAGAGATGGGTGAAAGCAGGTTCGTCCCTTGCTCTTTTAGAACTGATAGTCCACCGGAGATCACCTGTAATCAAAGGTTCACAATCATGTCTGTGTTTGCAAACTGAGGCAAGAGTTCTAGAGAGAAGCAACACAGGTAGTTCTACCTGAGTATGTAACAAAGACCTGACCCAGCAGGGTGTCTGGGCGGGCTACCTTGAGAAAATACTTTTTTTTTTTAATAGTATTTTATTGTGTTTTTGATGAAGGTTTACGCAGCATGTTAGGTTTCCATTCAATAGTTTGTACACAAGTTGTTCAGTGACATTGGTTACATTCTTCGTAATGTGTGAACATTCTCATTGAGAAAGTACTTCTGAGCTGCGAACCAAAGGATAGGTTGCGGTCAACCAGGCAGAAGAGGCTTAGGGATAGGGAGACATTCCAGGCTGAGGAAACAGCATGTGCAAAGGTCCTGTGGCAGGAGGGAGCATGGTATGCTTGAGGAGACATAAGAAGGCCAGTGAGGTCGAGATACAGAGCAGAAGAAGGAGAGTGGGGAGAGATGAGGCTAAAGAAGTGGTCAGTGGCCAGATCACTGGGCCCTATGGAGGGGGAGTTTGTATCCTGAGAGCAGTGGAAGGGTTTAAGCAGGAAAGTCACATAATCAGATCTCTTGGAAGAGTACCCTAGTTTCTGGGTCGATAATGACTTGGAGGATGGATGTGGAGAGTCCAGAGAAGGGACAGTTGCAATGGTCCAGGCAGAAAAGGATGCTTGCTTTGGCCAGGATGGTGGCAGTGGGACGGACTTCAGAAGTTGATGGGATTCGATGGTAGATACATATGGGGTGGGGAGGTAAGGGAGAGGGAGTTTGTAAGGACGAATGAATGCTGTTCCCTGAGAAGAAGGACCAGGAGACAAGGCCTTCCTGGGGGTGGGAAATTCATGAGTCCAGGCTCAGGTGTGCCTTTGACATGGCTATGAGGGAATGAGGGGAAGTCCCTTGTACTGGGTCTGGAGGTCAGACGAGAGGCTGAGCTGGAAAGGGTCACTTTGTGGATGTGGGCATGTAGTCACACAGGTTTGGCTGGGAGTGTGGGGAACAGGAGGATGAACCCCCAGAGGAGGACGAGGAGAATCAGGAGAGTGGGGAGGTGTCAGGGAGCCCTGGAGAGAGGGTTGAGCCCTGAGAAGTGCTGGGTTGGAGGAGAAGTGGTGCTGGAGTGGCTGATGGAGGAGGTGAAGTGGGGATAGCAAGGAAGATAGGCAATTCTGTTTGGCTGTGGAGAGGAGCGGAGGGAGAGAGAAGGTGGTGGAAGGGTGGGGGGTGGGGATAGAGGACCAGGAGTAGAGGGAAGTTCTTCAACTACAGGAGGGACTTGACAATGTAGATATTGATGTCCGTGGAAAAAACCTGGGCTTGGGAGTTGGACCAATGGGCCTGGACCTGCTGAGCCCAGTCTCTGTTCCCAGGAGCAGATCAGGCGTGGGGAGAAGGTTCTACAGCCCCTGGCTGGCTGGGAGGCGGCTGAGCTGGGCTCCCCTGGGGCCCGCTTTCTGGCCCTGAAAGCCCAGCTGACTGAATTCTCCAGGGCTTTGGCCCAGCGGCGCCAGCGGCTGGCAGATGCTGAGAGGCTGTTGAGATTCTTCAAGCAGGTGGGTAAGGGGTCCCTGTCCCTGGCTCCAGGTGATCAGTGGGGCCAGAGGAGTGGCTGCCTACCCTAGCTCTGTCTTGGCTGGAGCCCTTCCAGGCCTGTTCTCTTTCCTTGTTTTCAGTCTGATTCCAAAATCCAACCCTTGGGGATGCGGCTTGGGTTGGCATCCTGTGGGGGTAAGGAGTAGCCAGAGGAGAAGGCTTGTGGTCTCAGTGGGCTCCGCCTTCAGTGCCTGTCTGGCCTTGGTGTTGCAGGCCTCGACATTGGCTGAGGAGGGCCAGCGAGTGTTGGCAGAGCTGGAGCTGGAGCCCCCAGGGGTCGTGCTACAGCAGCTGCAGCTGCACTGGACCAAGCACCCTGACCTGCCTCCTGCCCACTTCCGAAAGATGTGGGCTCTGGCCACAGGGCTGGGCTCAGAGGGCATCCGCCAGGAGTGCCGCTGGGCCTGGGCGCGGTGCCAGGACACCTGGCTGGCCCTGGACCAGAAGCTAGAGGCTGCACTGAAGGCACCACCGACGGGCAGCAGAAGCAGCCTGTGTGTCAGCAGGGTCCTCGCTGCACATGCCATCCCTCCTCTAAGGAAGGCGTACAGCTTTGATCGGAATCTGGGGCAGAGCCTCAGTGAGCCTGCCCACCACTGCCACCATGCTACCACTGCAGCTGCCTGCCATCGACCAGAGGCTGGAGGTGGTGCCCAGCCTGGGTCATCCCCCACTGTGCCTCCACCAGGCACCTCTGAGCCTAGGAGCCCCAACAGGTGCAGGCAGTGGGTAGGGCAGGGAGGGAGGTGGCAGGGTGGAGTCCTGGGTCCTAACTCCTCCTACCTGGTAGGCTACAGCTGGTGCTGGCAGAGATGGTGGCCACGGAGCGGGAGTATGTCCGTGCCCTTGACTACACCATGGAGAACTACTTCCCCGAGTTGGATCGCCCTGATGTGCCCCAGGGCCTCCGTGGCCAGCGCGCCCGCCTTTTTGGCAACTTGGAGAAGCTGCGGGACTTCCACCGCCATTTCTTCCTGCGGGAGCTGGAGGCCTGCACCCGGCACCCGCCCCGAGTGGCCTATGCCTTCCTGCGCCATGTAAGCCCCACAGGTCACATGCCCGCAGCTGATTATGCCACATTCAGCAGTGAGCTTTTGGGCACATGCTTGGTGCCAGGCTCTGTGCTGGGTACAGCTATGAACAAGATGGACAAGGTCCCTGCTTCTCAGGGTGCTTATAGTTTAGCAGGAGGGATATAAAAATGAAAAAGATGACTCCAGATTATGGCCAGGGCTAGGAGAAAAATAACCAGGATGTGATTGTGCGTGACTGGTGGGGCAGTGGTTCCCATTTTAGGGAGCAGTTAGAGAAGGCATTTTTGAGGAGGGAATATTTGAGCTGAGGCCTGAGGGAGGAGGGAGAACCAGGTAGTGCAAAAACCTGGAGTAACAGCGTTCCATTCAGAAGAAACAGCAAGTGCAAAGCCCCGTGGAAGGAAAGAGCCCCCGTGGTTGAGGGAGAGACAGGCCATCATAGCTGAGTGTGGAGAGTAAGGGAAGAGTAGTCTGAGGTGAGATGAGATCAGAGAACTTTCTCAGAGCTGTGAGTGAAGCAGAGCTGAGTCTGGGAGGCTGAGTCTGAGGGGGAGACGAGACTTCTTCCCCCGACAGCCTCTGGACAAGCCCCCATTGGTACATGCTCTTTCTTGCCAGATTGCCCCCACTTTAGATCTGGGGGGACTTCCCTGCAAGGTGTCTGTTGGCATCTTGGTTCTCTCAAGCTGAGAGTGGCTAGGCCCATTGGGGGGCTGGCCTTTGGGAACTGGCCCCCTCGCACCCAGACTGAGCCGCCTGTCCCCACAGAGGGTACAGTTTGGGATGTATGCGCTCTACAGCAAGAATAAGCCTTGCTCCGACGCCCTGATGACCAGCTATGGCCACATGTTCTTCAAGGTAGGCAGGCTAGGGACTGTGGGGGATGGGGAATACCCTGAAGCCTCTTGATGGCCTCCCACTCACTTGGCAGGATAAGCAGCAAGCGCTGGGGGACCACCTGGACCTGGCCTCCTACCTGCTAAAGCCCATCCAGCGCATGAGCAAGTATGCGCTGCTGCTGCAGGAGCTGGCGCGGGCCTGCGGGGGACCTGTACAGGAGCTTAGTGCCCTGCGGGCGGCACAGAGCCTTGTGCGCTTCCAGCTGCGGCATGGCAACGACCTGCTGGCCATGGACGCCATCCAGGGCTGTGACGTGAGTCGACCCAGGCCTTAGTGGGCAGGTGCAGTGGGTGTGGATGGAAGGGGCCGAAGGGGCCAGGCACCCACTGGGCCTCTCCTTGACAGGTTAACCTCAAGGAGCAGGGGCAGCTAGTGCGACAAGATGAGTTCACGGTCCACGCTGGGCGCCACAAGTCCCTGCGCCGCGTCTTCCTCTTTGAGGAGCTGCTCCTTTTCAGCAAGCCTCGCCGCGGGCCCACAGGCATCGACACATTCACCTACAAGCGCTCCTTCAAGGTAGGCCTGCCCAGCCCTGCCCCTGCCCTGCCTCTGCCCCCCTGTGCCTCATCAAGCCCTTCTCCCCTGGCCACACAGATGGCAGACCTGGGCCTGACTGAGAGCTGTGGGGATGGCAACCTGCGCTTTGAGATCTGGTTCCGCCGTCGTAAGGCCAGGGACACCTTTGTGCTGCAGGCCACCAGCTCGGCCACTAAACAGGCCTGGACCACTGACATCTCTTGCCTGCTCTGGAGGCAGGCTGTCCACAATAAGGGTGGGTCCCTGTCCCTACTTCATCCCTCCTTCCCCTCCCCAGAGGGCTTACCTTGTCCCACGGGGGCCCTGGAAAGTTTGGGAAGGTACCTCCAGGGGCCGTGTGGAGAAGAGGCCAGCAGTAGCAGCCAGCAGAGGAAAGAACTTCAAAGTCAGGCAGTCCACCTGTCACCATGTCTGACTCTGGACACAACAGTAACCTCTATTAACAGGCTCATCTTTAAAAGGGAAGGGTGGGAGGAGAGAGCCCAGGACCAGAAAGGCTCAGAGGACAGGAGAGATAATCAGCTAGGTGTCCAGGAAAGATTCATTTAAGGGAGGGGATAGAGGTCCAAGGGCAAGGCTGATGTCGACAGGCCCCGCCTCATGCCCACTCTCCTCCCAGAGGTACGCATGGCTGAGATGGTGTCCATGGGTGTGGGGAACAAGGCCTTCCGGGACATTGCCCCCAGCGAGGAAGCTATCAATGACCGTACCATCAACTGTGTCCTCAAGTGCCGAGGTAGTGGGCAGCCTCCAGGGGTAGGGGGAGGAAAGCTGCTCGGGCGGCAATATGGGCCTCTGTCAGCCCTAGCTGGAACTCCCCTTGGGACCTCAGGCCAGGCTGGGCTCTAGCCTGTCCCCACCAGACCTTCCCTCTTATGCAGAAGTTCGCTCTCGGGCCTCCATTGCTGTGGCCCCGCTTAACTATGACAGCCCCTACCTGGGGGCCTCCAACTCCCTTCCTGGAGACCTTGCCTCTTCTTCTGTACTGGGGCCCCTCAACCTGCACCTGTACAAAGACCCAGCTCTTCTGGGCCTCCGCTGGCCCCTGTATCCCACCAACTTCCCAGAGGAAGCAGCGCTGGAGGCTGAAGCAGAGCTGGGCAGCCAGCCCTCTTTGAGTATGTCTGGGCTTAAACAGGCAGGAGGGCATGGCCTGGGGTCTGGGCCTCCCCTGCCAACAGCTCACCCAGTCTCCCTCCCTAGCTTCTGAGGACTCAGAGGTCTCGTCGCAGTGCCCATCAGCCAGTGGCTCCAGTGGCTCCGACAGCAGCTGTGTGTCAGGGCAGGCCCTGGGCACGGGCCTCGAGGACTTGTCCTATGTGAGTGCCCTTTGGCCCTATACCCACCAGCCCCTCCCCAGCACAACCTGGGTCTCTGGCTGCCTTTCCTTTAGGTGGAGCTGGAGGCAGGTGGGCCAGAGCTATTCCCCAGAGACCCCACTTAGCACGTGAGCTGAGGAAACTGGCATTCATGCTCCAACTGCCACCACAGGTCTGAGCCCAGGCTTGAAGATGGACAGCGGATCCAGCAGCCTGTGGTTCCAAGGAACATCCCCCTCTCTCTGGATCTGCTATAACCGGGGTGTGGCTGGCCCCGGGCCCTCCCCGCCGACATGGACAGCCCTGCTGACTACCCTTTCTGATATCTGTCCCCACTGGACAGACCACAGAGCGCCTCTCTGGGAAAGTCTGGCTGCACTGCCTGAATGAGGACCTGGATCCCTGGGTCCTTGCCCCGTATCCCCCTTTCCTGTCCCCTTCTCCAGCCCCTGCCCCAAGCTGTGGGTTAGGATTAGGCTAGAGCTAATATTTCATGCTATAGCCTGGTGGAGCATCCTAGACTGGTGGGTTCCCAGCAGCTGCCTCCCAGGCCCTGGCCTTAAGCCCACCCCTATTGGGCCCTTACCCTTGCCTGCCCTGGCTCCCCAGGCCCAGCCCCTTCTTTCCTGAGTCAGTTTGGTTATTTTGACTCAATGCCTTTTGAATAGCTTTCAACTAGAGTTGTTGGCAGAAATTATGTCACTGGTTGTTTGGTCTTTGGTGTTTTGGAAAGGGAGTCCAGGCTTTGACTTGTGGTTTACTCTTTTATTTGTTTACAATAAAAAGTAGACTAACAAACACCCTCGGCTGGGCACATGCTTTCTGGGGGCATTCTCAGTTAAAATGAGCCTTGGCCAGTGGTGGTCTGTGGGGCAACATCTCTGGGCACCCTAGCCCTCTTGTAAGTACTTGCCCAGGATCGAGTAGGAGACAGACCGAGACAGGCCCCTCTGGATGAGCAGGTCCACACAGCGGCCATATTTCCTGGCGAAAGGCAGTGTGAGCTGGAAGGAAAAACCTGTCTTACCCCTGACTTCTGGCCATTTGTCTCCTAGGTCTGGGTGGGCAGGGTTCCTCCCATGGGGCGGGGGTGGGACAAGCCAGTTGTTGGGACCTTTGATATTTGCAGGCTCATTTCTTCCCAAAGGCATCTCACAGGCCTGGGGCTAGAAATGGCTACCAGGGTCCTGATCAGAATGACCCAAGGGTCCAAAATGTTTGTTTTCTGTCTCTGGTTTTCCACTTTCCAGCTGTCGATGCTGACCTTTACCTTTACAATCAATAGACAAGCCAGAGACCTAATCGTAATTGAGTACTAGTGTAGTTATGGTGAAAAGTGTTCTAATTCATTTAATTATTGAGATGCCAACTTCATGAGAATTAGCTAAACCCTTTTTCATCTACAATGTTAGTCACTTCAAACCCTACACTTATTTTAAGGAATCCAAGACAAAATAACTTGGTTATTCCTTTGTCCTTATTGAACATTTTCCTTTTCTTTGTAAAGAATGCATCAAAGAAGCTTAAATAGGAAAGGAATGTATGATAAAAAATGGTGACATCATGGCTAAAAAGGTGAAGTTGATATTACAGTTGAAAAGGTCTGAATCCCAATCCACTGATTTTGTACCCCAAAAGTACCTGCTTCGCCAGGTGCAGCCAGAGTTGTTAGTGATGAAGGCAAAGTTGGTATTGTTTTATACGAAAACTATAAAACCCAGGGGCCAGAATACTCATTTTTGACCAGTCTGGACTGGTTAATTTTAGCCATCATATCTCCCTCCCCAGGACCAGCAGCCTGGCTGCCTGCCTAGCCTCCTGGGTGCACTGGCCTGGTCCTTGGGCAGGACCCTCCATGGGCTGCCATTCTCTGTGGGGCACAGGTAGTCCTCACCTCCACCCAGCTGTACAGGCGTTCCTGGGTGTGCCGGTCATCCTTGAAGCCGGAGATGGCCAGCAAGTCCACCACAAACTGCTTGGGGCTGATATGCAGGGTCTGCAAAGAGCCTGCAGTCAGATGGGCCTGGGGGCAGCTGCCTGATATACCTGTGCTTGCAGGCCCTCAGAGTGGGATGCAGAGCACGGGCTTGCCTGGGCCTGCAGGAGCCCCGGGAGGGGGGCACTGATGCTCCAGATCTGCCCCTTGGCCAGGGTCGTTCTGGATGTAGTTGCCCTGCTTTCCTGCCCTGCCCTTCCTTCTACTCTTCTTCCCCTGACCAATTCCCCGACCCTGTCCTTGCTTGCTTCCTCTTGTCTTGCACCACTTAGTGTAGAGGGACAGAGTGGAGAAGGTAGAAGGTGCCCCAGGGCCTGGGGCCTGTCACACATACCCACAGCCGGTTGGCCAGGGACACCACCTTGGCCGTGATGGCTTTGGGGTCCTTTTGTCTGATGGAATCCAGGATGATGTCAGTCAGGAAGCGGTGACATTTCTGTGCATAAAACATCTCTTCCCAGGACAGAGAGAAACTCAAGAAAGTCACCTCTGCGGAAGGAGGGAGAGCAGCTGTGGCCACACCTGCCCATGGCTAGGGCCTCAGGACAGCCTGGTGGGGGAAGAGGGGCTCTTGAGGGAGGCCCTGCCCCGAAGTGTCCTGGGAAGTGCAGGGCCAGGCATGGCCAGGAGCCTCACCTCGGGGCTGGGCGCTGGCTGTGGGCGGCATGTGCCTGAGGTGGTCCATCTGTGTAGTATACACGATGCTTTCCTCAAAGAACATGCAGGAGCCATCGCTGCCCACCACGGGGGGGTGGGTCACTTTGAGGATGATCCCAGCACTGTCCACTTCACTGGCCTCAGGCAGGGGCTGCTCAGGGGCAGGGTTTTCTGTGAAAACAACGTGGGGAGGGGATTCCCCTTAAGCCACTTTGGCCCAAGTAGGGAGGGGGCCTCTGGTGACAGACCCCTAGAATCAGTCACCCCACCCTTCCAGCTGCTGCTGTTGCCTCCAGCTTCTCGGAAGTAGCACTCTGGGCTGGCAGGTGCCTGTCCCAGCCTCTTTTCACTGCCCTGAAATCATTGCAAGCCATAACCCAAATTCCAGAGCTCCAAGAACTGTCCAAAGTCTTGTGCTGAACTGAGATTGGTATCAGAGGGGGCCGATAATAACTCATCTGGGGACTGGAAATCTTTTTTGTAAAAGGAGAGGAACTTTTTGGGTGAACCTTGACCTATGTCCACTCTGGAAGAGTATGCTTGATAGACCAACATGAGGCTCACAGCAGCAGGTCCATGTAGGCCCCTCCAGGCAGGACCTGAGCCAACAAAAAGGAAGGCGACAGAATATCGTGGGGAGGACTCAGAGGGGTCAGAGACAGCAGCCCATCTGGGCAGTTTTCAGCACACTTTCCTGGGCCATCTTCCCCACCTACCTGCCACACGTACACACCTCTCTTTTCACCCTGGTTCTGCAGACCCTCCTGCCTCCTGGGCTTCTCCACTTGATGTCCTACAGCACCTTACACTCACTGTGCCCTCTCCCCCAAGTCCTACTCCTACTCTTGTCCACCCCACCTCCTTGCTGTCACCCAAGTTGGAAACTTGGCCCCTTCCTTGGCCCAGTCCCTCCCTTCCTCCTCCCCTCAACTGCCTAGCCTGTTTCACCTGGAATGAAGTCAGCAATTTCTAATGCTTCCCCTCCTGCTGCATTTCCTCTGCTCCTGGAGCAAGCCTTCTGGAATGCCCACTGACCATGTCTCTTGCTATCTTGTTTAAAACCCTTCAGTGGCTGCCCCTTCCCTCAGGATCAGGACAAAGTGACATTCTGAACGTGGCCCACAAGACTTGTCCTTCTCTACTTATGTTTTAGTTTATCTCCCGTTACTTCTCCACGTGAAGCTTGGCCTCCACCTGTACCACGAATATCTGTACTTTTTCTTCTTTTTCCCTGCTGACTCCCCAGTCCCACCCTCCTCTGTGCCCCCACCACCTCCTAGGTACCTCCTATCCCTGGTGCTCATCACATCACCTTGTGATTGTCTCGGCCTCTCAAACCATGCCAGTGTGCCGGTCACCTCTGTGCTGCCTGCACAGAGCTGACATCGATGAGTGGGGAAGTTGAGCTCTCACTTTGTCACTAACTCACTCTGTGGTCTTTGCCAAGGAGTTTGACTTCTCTGTTATAGATGAGACTTAGGTCAAGGATGGGACAGGACTCACCTCTCTCCTTTGACCTCTGCTTGCCCCAGTTGTTCAAGGTGACAGCTCTTTTTATGGGGAAGTATGGCTTGAAGGTTGGCTCTGGTCCCTTGTCTTTGGCTCCAGCTCCAGCCCCTCCCTGTGGACTGGGGTCTTTCTTGGAGCCTGTGTAATGGGTTTTCCAGGCAGCTGAGGTGCTGGGCTGGGAAGCAGCCTCACTTCCCTGCAGGGCAGCCTCCTCCTCCGAGTTGCTCCGGGGGGCTATCTGTGGCTGGAATTCCCACTGCTTGCAATTGACCATGTCCCACTCCCTCACCAGGGAGATGAGTTTTTGCATGGGTGTGACAGGAGGGTCTTTGGTTTCAGATTTCTGTGTGAGGTTGATTGTGGCACACTTCTTCTTGGGGGGACTCTCAGGGTGGCCCTCCCAGTGTTTGGGGTTGGCACAGAGGCCAGGGCAGTGTGAATATGTGCTGGGGTTGCCCGCCCTCTTGGTAGCTCGGCACAGGGACACCTGGATGGTCCGGGTGTGCTGCTCAGCCTCCTCCATCTGGCTGGACCTGGTCAGGGTCCCCTTGGCCTTGTTCCATGTTGTCCTGTCACTGCAGTCTTGGAACTCCACAGGCATGCAGCTTGTGGTCTGGGGAGAGAAGGACACAGCAGCTCTGGGCATGTTGTACTTCCACACTGAATCCTAGCCCAGATTCTAACAAGCTGGCTCTTCAAGGCTTTGCTTGCTTATCCAGAGCAATCCCACCCCCCACATGGCTCACCCGTTTGAGCTTTGTTCAGTCTGAGCAGGGGTGGTGCCAGCCTAGGGGCCTCACACACCAACAGGAGATAGTATCAGTGTCCCAGGCCATGAACAGCCAACACTTCCTTGGGCCTACTTTAAGATTCAGAAACCAGTTACTATGTCGGGAGCCCTGCTTTTTCATTTTTCCATGCCCCTCAGTAGCTGGGCCCACCCCCTCTCCCCCAGTCCTGTGGTGGTTTCTCTGAGGGCAACACCAAACCAAAGAAGGCTGGGGCTTACCTCTTTGGCATCTCTGCTGAACTCCACCACTGACCCTGGCCCTTCTGTCACCACGTGCAATCTCCTGATGGGAAAAGCTTCTTCATTTTCAGATTCTTTCTCCTGGATCCATGACCTGCAGAACCCCAGAGGGGTTGCTTAGTAAGCAGAAGCTCCCACCAGCCCACTGGCCTGTTGGTCAGGTCTGCCCTTTGGCTGGGAACTAACACGAGACGGGGGGGAGAGCGGCTTTTGAAGGGTTTTGCTTAAATTATTGGCCAATCCTGGGCCTGCTCCACCCACTCCCCAAGGAGATCAGGCCCTTACTGGAAGGTGGGACTTAGAACAGGATTCCCAAAATAAAAGTGGAACATAAAGATATCACCAGAACACGGTATCCTGAACGGTTCCCTTACTTGTATGCCTCACATTGGGCAAGGGCTTCTGAGAGGGATGGAATCTGGTATTCCTCCACTTCCTGGCAGAAGAGGGGCCATTCCCTGCAAATGACAAGGAGATGCTGGACTGGGTGGGAGTGTGGGTGGGGGCATTAGCCCCTAGAGCTGCCTTCTTTAACAACAGTTCACATGTTGGAAATAATATAACTTCATCCCTGAAGGCAGCAAACTCGGGTTTCCTTTTGTGGCAGAGGGATGGAATCAGCCTCAGTGATTTCATCATAAGATTTTCTTGCTTCACTTACTTAAATTCAGATGGTAAAAACAGTTTTCCAAGTCTCAGGAAGTTGAGGACATGTCGGAACATCTGGCCATCGCCGTGGATCAGCAGGGTCTGTCCATAGGTGATCCAGTACACTCTCTGAGTGTTGGACAGCAGTTCTGGATACTGGAAGGGGTTGGGCACAAGACTCAGACCTAAAGCCTGGCTCTCTAGTGAGGGGCGGGTCAGTCTTTTCTTGCGTCCTTTTCCCCACCATACTAGAGCAGAGAGGCTGTGAGTTTTCTGTCTCTGTCTTATCTGCCGCAGGGAGCCACAGTGGGGAGCAGAGCATCCAGGGAGAAGCACTCGCCTCTCCTTCAAGTTTTGCCGATCCCTGGGCCACCTTCTTCAGGCACTTGGAACCTCACCCTACCTCCTGGCTCGGTCTAGGCCCCTCAGAACTGGCCTCCTCTCTACCCAGACTCTTTTTTTTTTTTTAAATTGTGCTTTAGGTGAAAGTTTACAAAGCAAATTAGTTTCTCATTCAAAAATTTATACACAAATTGTTTCATGACGTTGGTTGCAATCCCCACGTTGTGTCAGCACTCTCCCCCTTTTCCTTTCTACCTCGGGTTCCCTGGTTCCATTCCTCCAGTTTTCCTGTCCCTGACCATGTTCTTGTCTTTGTTTTTGGGTAGGTGTTGCCCATTTGGTCTGGTATACTTGACTGATCTAAGAAGCACATTCCTCACGTGTTATTGTTTGTTTTATAGGCCTGCCTAATCTTTGGCTGAAAGGTGAACTTTGGGAGAGGCTTCAGTTCTGAGTTAGAAGGGTGTCTGGGGGCCATAGCCTACCTAGACTCTTAAGGGCCCTCCCAGCATGGTGCTTATTCCATTTCTGCTCACATGATAAAAGTACTTTGGGCAGTGGACCTGGGGGAATGTCCTTGTTCTAAGCAAGTGCTGGAGGCTGTGTGAGGGTCAGGTGACAGGTTCCAAAGCAGCTCAGTAGGGGAAGCCAAAGGGGAAGGAGGGTCAGCCTGGACCAGCAGTACCTTCAGCAGGGTCTGCAGAGTGGTTGCGTACCAGTGGCTTCCAACGTAAACTTTGACGATCTGCTGAGGAGAATACACAGTGATTTCTGCTGTCCGCTCCTCATCTATGGACGCCAAGGAGAGGAAACAGGTCACATGGCCAGCAGGGGAAGTCAGGTATGGCATTTTGGTCAATAATGTATAGCATCTTAAGACTTGATATCTTCATCAGTCATATTGTGTTGCCTACTCCAAGAAGCAGCAGAAATCCCTGACACCAACCATCCCTGCTGCTCACCATTTGGTTTCCTGGGTGATGAGGTGGGTTTAGAATAGCAGCTTTGGAGGTCAGCTGGTGACTTGGGGTGGGGAGGGAGAGCCCTCTGAAATCTGAACTCCAAGGGCACTGCTGTTCACCTGACCCACCTCTCTTAAGAAAACTGGGTTGATGTTCCTGTTCACCTACATTGCCAACTGCCTCTGGTTTCTGGCTACATGTGCCCTGGGTGTGTGACTTTTCATGTGGCCACTCAGACTGGAGCTAGGAGTCCTCTCTATGTTTATGCTTCTGGATTGGCAAATGTCAGAGCTAGCTCTCGTCAGATAACTACTTCAATAGAGACCAGGCCTCTAAGCATGTCTGGAGAATGGGGGCACTATTCTGCTTTATTCTGGGAAGATGAACCCATGGCTTTTTTCCTAAGAGTGACTATATTCTAAGCTTTTTTCTGATGTTTGGGAACCAGTTTCTAGTGAGCTTTGTAATGAGTGAAGGGTATATAACTAGATTATATAGCCAAGAGATAAGAGGTACAGTATATAATTAGATTGTGAGCTCCATGAGGAGAGGGACTGGGCCTGTGTTGCTCATTTCTATACCCCCAGTGTCTACCCCTGTCTTGTATATTGTAGGTGCTCAATAAATGTTGAATGTTGCTGTCAGGTAATAATAATAATGATACAGCTTGGACTTGACCTAAAAATTTTTTGTTAATAAGGGGTCACAGGCAGCTGATGTTTGTTAATAAGAGGTCATGGGCAGCTGGTGAAAACAGCATTGGCTTTGGATGCAGATTCAAACCCAGTTGACCACTGACTAACTGTAATTTGAGCAAGTTACCTCACTGAACCTCTGCTGCATCTGTTAAATGGACTTTGGGACCGTTCCTCCCTGAATGGCTGTGAGGACCAAATGAGTACAGCATGTCAGCTCCTCGGGCCAGAGCAGGCTTGTGTTTGGGGACCTGTGTGCCCCACACTGGGTACTACACACACAGGCCCAGTGTGTACTGCTTGAGACTACTTGTGGGCTTGAGGGGCAAGGAGCGGGATGTAATATGAAAGTCTCCCTTTAGGCAAAATCCACAAATGTTGGTCTGGATTTTCCCCCTTCATACACCCATAGATCCTGGCTGTGGCCAGCCTCATCTTTCCTCTTCAATCCCCTAAACTTTCTCCTGACACTAAATTCAAACCAAGAAGCTTCCCCATTTACTGAGCACATCCATGGGCGCCAGAGTCCTTGGCTCCAGATGAGTCTTCAGAGCCACTTTCATTGGCTCGTAGGTGATGTCCCTCTTGTCCAGGAAGGCACAGAGCTCATACACCTCAGAAATGGTCTCAGTCAGGGGCAGTCGGCAAGTCCCCAGCCAGTTCCTGCCCAGAGGAAAGGCCTGTCATCAAGAGCCTCAGCACCACACCCCCAGAGAGTCTCCAGCCTGGAAACTTTGCATGTCTAGGATGTCTTGCCATGGCACCGGTTCAAACTTGGCATCATTAACATAATTCCCTTCACTTAACTGGAAGTCTGGTGATATCTTGTAGGAGGGCAAGCCTGGACACAGGCTCACTCTTCTGGAGCTGAGCTTGACCTATTTCAGCAAAGTCCCCTAAACGGACTGATTGTAAGCCTCCACACCCTGTCTCAGGTTCCAGAAGCCAGGCGAGGGCCCAGCCACTCCCTTTCTGCCCCCATAATTATCTGCCCGATATCTCAGATGCTATGGAGCAGCTTGCTATGGTCCTGGGAGATTACTAACACCCTGTGTGCCCAGGAAAGAGGCTGGGGTCTAAACATCAACCCCCTCCTCGAACTCTCCCTCCAAAGGCACTTGTATTTGTCCTCCGCGACATCAGTTAGGGGGGACAGCTCTGTGAGAGACAGGTGTTGTGGGGCACATTGCATCACAGCCCTGCAGCCCAGGGCCAGGAGAGCAACCCTTTGCACTGTCCTTCCCAGCATTCCTGTGCTGCACTGGGTGTCTAGGCCTCCCCCACCAGTTCTGTGCCGAATCCACCACAGGAAGGGACCTCAGACCAGGACCTCCACCAAGAATGGAACAAATGACCCTCAGAAGAAGAGGGATGAATGGTCCCTTGCAGAGAACAGGGTGCATTTGTCTTCCTCTTGATACTTCCTGGACAGAAGAGGATGAAGAAACATTTGGAGCTACCCAAACTCTGTGTGAGAGGTCAGGACACTACCAAACTGACAGCCTTGGGGCAAGACAGTGGTTGAGGTGGCGAACCCTCACCCCAGGGATTCAGAAAAATCCACTTCTACCTTTAATGCTGGTACCAATGTGCTTTATGACCCTAAGAGAGCTGCTCCACTGTTCTGCACCCCACCATAAAAGGGGATTAGGATCCATGCTCCTGCACTAATGGAACATTCAGCACTCATCCCCCAAGGCAAGGGCCAGGAATCACCTCCTTCAGGAAGCCGGCCCTGGTTCTGGCCTCTCTGTACATTCAGGGAGCCCACCTGAATGTGTAGGAGGATCTGCATGCCCTACTAGCTTGGGGAGGGGTACCCAGCACCCTGAGGTCATGGCTGGGCCTCTCAGACATAGTGCAGGGCTAGAACCAGGGAAATAGATTGCAGAGAAGAACAGAAATATGGAATAGTTCTTTGAACCTGCAGGACACTGGCAACTCCATGGGCACCAGTCCTCTCCTCTGAGGTCCTAACCCCATGGTGGTGGTGGGGGAGTGGCTAGAATAGTGGGTTTACCCCCAAAGACACTATTTCCCTCTAGCTCATGGGAAAGGCCTGAGTTGGTCCCTAGGGAAATGCACAGCCAGCCTGATGAGACCAAGCTGTTCTCTAAGGCGGGCCTTACTTGACGTGCTGGAAGAGGACCCCGTTCCCCGTGATGTACAGTCTACTTCCATCCAGCGTGCTCTCAATACGCAGCTGTCCTAGCGCGGAGTCTGGATACTTGACGAGCAGACCGAGGGCCATCACGTACAGGGGCTTCACGGACTCCAGGCCAGCTGTGCGACCCCCCTTCCCAGGGCTCAAGGGAGGGCAGGAGGTCCGGGAACAGCCACCTATGCCAGGGAGAAAGGGGGTGACTCGTAGACCCCCCATGGCAATAGCTGTAGTGGAGGCTTTGGTTCTTGCTTCCTACTGTTGCCTTGAATTTGTACTAAAGGGGCTTAGAGGGAAGTTATTCCCTTGCACAACACAAATCTGGATTTTTCAAAATCACTATAATTTTTGCTTAGAGGTCAAAACTATTTGGGAGTTGGTGAGGCAGAGGGGTTCATTTACTATATCACTAAAATCTAAGTTTCAGAAATTTCAGTATTGCAGTTATCAGGTTGCAACCTCTGCAGGAATCTCCCTCATGTCCAGGCTCTGTTCTAAATGTCCATGGGTAAAGATCAGCAACCCAGTGCAAAAACCACTGTGTGTTATGGCCTTCCTAAACTCCTAGGCCCTATCATGGACCCTCCTGGGCAGACTTCCCCCAGAGACATTGGATGCCGTATGACTTTCAGGTTGGCATTTGGGTTGCTGGATTGCGGGGCAGGAGTTTGTTCTCCTGCAGTGGGCAGTGCCACAGAACACAGTATCACAGCCTATTGGACCCTGTCCCACAGAGACAATGGGGCAGCAGGCAAGTTGCTGATTTTCACGGATTCCATTCCTCAGAGCAACCCAACAAGGTGGGTAGTGCTATCTTCATTTCACGGATGAGGAAATTGTGCCCAAAGAGGCTAATTAAGCATCTCTCCCCAGACTGCAAAGGCACGAGCAGAGCTGGGATTGGAGGTCAGCTCTGTCCATCTCCAAGGCTACCAGAGCTGTTGCCCTTAGTTATGGTGCTGTATAAGAGGTGAAACCACACTCTGTGTTTGGGGATTGGTGCATGGCTTGCAGAGCCCATCTACAAACGTGGTTCCATTTCATCTTCACATTATCTTGTGGATTAGGCACTACTCTACCCGCCTCACAATGACCCATGTTTTCTGAGGAACAGAAACCATTAGGGGAGGGGTCTGAACTCTCACCCCCTTAAGTAGATTGCAAGACCCTAGGACAGACCTGCTGCAGAATGCCACCCCCTAAATAGGATAGGGGGGTCCATTTCCCAGGGAGAGGACTGGGAAAGCTGAGCCCGGAGACGGGAAAAGGATGTTATCTAAGGTTCCATTCTGCCTGCTCTCATGGGATAACTGTCTGCTGATGTACAGCTGGGCTTCATATGTGTGAGACCTTCCTATGCATTCTCAGAAGGAGGGCACACTGAGAGAGCCAGTTCCCTGCACGTGCACAGCAGCTCCATGGATGTACAGGAGTTGGGAAATGGACGATGAGAGGCAAACCAAACACTTGAGGGGACGAGCAAGCTGGAAGGAGGTAGGGCTGGGAGCACGAAGGCTCAGACTGGACTGGGGTCAGGAAGTGTCAGGAACAGGCAGAAACAGAGGCCCAACAGTCAGGGATTCGGGGTGTGGGGACAAGGGAATTTGGGGGTGGGGTGGCATAACTGAAGCACTAGTGGGGAATTTGCCAAGCATTCCCATGCCTTCCAGCAGTGCCTGGAAGAGGAGGGATGGGAGGGACAGGTGGGTACTACCAGCCCCCAGTTGCTCTCCTCCACAAGCAGGGAGACCTCTTCTGCCCTGGGAAGCCTGCCCTTGGGCCCAGCCTCCCTCCTCTGGGGATTCTGCCTGGTTTCCTGCCCACGCCGGCCTCCTTCAGCTCCAGGCTGGGCTGGGCTCCTCACAGCCCCAGTGGGCTGCTAGCCACTCACTGTCAGTGGGGAGGCTCTGAAGACATAGGGCATGAAGGGTTCCAGGCTGAAATTCATCTTCCTGCATTCTAATTCAGCCAAAACACTAGCTTCTCTCACTGCCACTCAAAGCCCCAAGTGGTTGTGGCAAGGGACATGTTTGTTCTTGGTTTTTCCATCTCAAGCCCAGACTACCTCAAAATGTCAAGGTTCCCCTGGGGGACATACCCATATTCATCCGGTACAAGCTTATGGCTTCAGTGAGCTCAGGGATTTCCAGAATTTCCACTTCCGCTTCTAACACATCTATGTTGGAGAAATTATCTGGTAGTAAAATCTTCTGTGAGCGGAGAAAGTTCACTTGAAAGGCAAAGGGAAACAAAATGAGTTAAAGAGGTTATTTCTAATTTAACTGTAGATCTAGGCTTCTGCCAGGTTTTTGATGCTGCAACTTATCTTGGGCTCTCCTTGTTCTGAAACAATTTCTAAACATACCTGGTTAGATTAGCTTTAGAGTCTACGGTTTTCAAGGTGAAAGACCCCAAATTACTTTGTTTTCCTGTGTCTGAGTCCATGGGTGTGGCCTCCCGTGGGGCTTCCAAGCCAGGCCCTCCTGACTGAGCACACTGGCTCTGAGACTTACCCTGTGAGCCTTGACCACCCAAGAGCAGGTCATTCCAAAAGAGGGAGTTGTCTTGCCGCTTAGAGAGGAGGGGACTGGCTGAGCCTGGGCTGGCAGGTGGCACTTGCAGTTTGTCCCTGCCTGGATTGCAGTGTGGGAGGCAGGAATGGAGCCAACGCTAACGTCCTGTGTGAATCAACTTGGAGATTCAGAAGCACATCATGGACAACTTTCTAGATGACTATGAACATGAATGGCTGGTGTTCCAGGCATTTGGGCCCCTAGCGCAACTTGGGAGTTGACTGCATCTAGGCAGCAGCAGCGTCTTAGAATCAGGGGTCACTTAGTTCATATCCCCAACAAGGCTCTTCCTAGGGCAGTCAGTGGGGGGAGGAAGGCTGCTTTCTGTCCAGGGTCCAAGATCTTATCCCTCCTTAGGTCATTAGCTCCCGGGAGAAAATTGTACAGTGATTCTGGGGAAACTGCCACCATTCAGAGCCCTCCTTCTCTTTTATTCTAAGTTTAGTGGAAGTGTGAGCAGGTGGGGACCATCCTTTGAAACAGCCCTATTTCCTCATTTTATAGCAAGAGGAACAGAGGCCTGAAGCCCACTTGGATCCATACTGCAGAAGAGAAGTTGCCTTTGGAGCCCAGCTCAGGGCCCTGCCCTTTGCACCAACTCTTGTGGTCCCTGACACCACCTCAGGTAGTTTCCAGTGCGCCTTTACTCCTAGGTCATTCCAAACTAAACAGGGAGGTAAGATAGCCCTGAGGCTAGTGGGAGCCATGCTGGGCATCTGCTTGGCTCCTGGAAGGCTCTGGCATGCCTCCACCACCTCTGCCCAGGGAGGATCTTGAGGCCCTGAGCACCAAACTGGGCCTCTGTGGGGTCTGGGATGGAGATGGGGGATGGGAAGGCGTAGGTGGGCCCTATCTTCCCACTGTCCCTTCCCCCCCAGGACAGAGCAATCACCGATGAAGCGGAACTCGCTGCACTCGCACTCAATCAGGGCCACAGTCTCAGCCAGCCACAGCAGGTTGTCTTCAGTTACCAGGCTCGGATACTTGGCTACCAGGTTGAGGGGCAGGAAGCAGTAGTGCACTTCCTCTTCAGTGTCTAACAGTGGTGTGTCCATGAGCCCCAAAGGCGCCTTATCATGTAGGCCTGGAGGAGAACGTGAAGACCAGTATTACCACCTCCCGGAGGTCAGGGCTCTGAGTCTAGCAGGGTCTCACTAACACAGGGGCCCCAGAGGGAACTGAGAGATCATGCAGGAGCCGGTCCCTGCCAGGCACCTCCTTCTCTCTCTTTTCAGATGTAGCCATAAGGTTTGGCAGGAGTGTGGTGGGGCTGGGGGTGGGGCAGCATGGAGATCTATTTTTTCTACAGTGAAGGACAGTGGGACATACTGTGACATTTTGGCTTATGTACCCAAAGTCATTAAATTCATATTGATTACCCATATAGTTCTTTCTAATTTGTCAAACTAACCACTGTGATCTGCAGATGAAATAGATGCTTTTGACTCTACTGGAAGCTCAAAACCCATCAATAATCATGAATGCCTGTTCTGGTGTCCCAGATAGGCTAATCTATGCTGCAAGGCCCTATCAGACAGGGGTCATTTGGGGACATTCCTTGTCTGGTGGTGAGAGGTGACTTGAAAGGATGGTGGAATTATCTGACTTCTAGGAGGGGGTGGACGGCAGCCTAGCCTTGCCCACGCAAAGTCAATATGCAGAGGAACGAATGTGGAAGAGGATGTCTAAGTGGGCAAGCAGCCGTGGAGAGGGCTCATGGCAGGGTACAAGATCAAAGGAGATGGGAGAGAGGTAGATGGATCATCCAGGAATCACCAGAAATCAAGGTGCTCTCTGGACAAGAACCATTCTGTTAGGGCGAGGAGAGAGGAAGCTGGCATGAGATTCAGGAAGAGCCAGCTTATCCCTGGCTGTACCTGTGAAGGCTGGGCTTTTTATAGGAAATTCTGAGGGTTTGCTGATACATTTCCACGTTCGCCAGTAGTTCAAAGATGCTCTCTCAGCAACAGGTATGTCTGCAGGCCGCACACGTAGATGGTGTTTTCCTTCCTTCAGATTATCTAGAGTCTGTTAGATAGAGAAGGTTATTACCTTAAAAATTCTAAGCCAAATAACTATCTAGTAGTTCTTGGGTGAAATACCAGGAAAAATAGTATGTGACTTACTTTAGTAAAGTGTCTTGAAACAAATTGAGTCAATCACAAAAAAAGTAAGAAATTAGGCCCGTAAGATGACATGCTGGCAATACTCAAAATCCCAATGACTAGTTTTCTTCTGATTGTTTTTATTGTGGTAAAATATACACAACATAAAATTTGCCATTTTAACCGTTTACAATCCAGGGGCATTAATCAAGCTCTTAATGTTGTGCAACTATCACTGCTATTTGTTTCCAAAACTTTTTCATCACCCCAAGCAGAAGCTCTATGCAGTAAGCAGTAACTTCCCATTCCCAACCCATGTTAACTACTTAACTACTTTCTGTCTCTTCGCTTTTGCCTAGTCAAATATTCATATAAATGGGATCATATAATATGTGGCCTTTTGTGCTTGATTTATTTCACTTAGCATAATGTTTTCAAGGTTCATCCATGTTCTAGCATGTATCAGAACTTCATTAATTTTTATGGAAGAATAATATTCCATTGTATGGATATACCACATTTTATTTATTCATTCATCTGTCGATGGACTCTTGGGGTTTTTCCATCCTTTTGGCTATTGTGAATAATGTTGCAATGAACATTGATGTGCAAGTATCTGTACTGAGTCCCTGCTTTCAATTCTTTTGAGTATAGATCTTGGAGTGGAATTGCTGGGTCATATGGTAATTCTATGCTTAACTTTTTAAGGAACTGCCAAACTGTTTTTCACAGTGGTTGTACCATTTTACATTTCCACCACTAATAGTCTTCTGATTTCTTAAATAATTTTTTTTTTTGGTTATAATTTTATGTTGAGTAATAGTTATTTATCTTACATCATCTGAAGAGTAATTTACATTTAATCATTAAAAACTTGTTTTCTGCTATCATTTCCTGTCAAGAATTCAAAAACCATTCTTGACCTGTTATTATGTTGTGACCTGCTTATTGTTTGTGTTCATCCTAATCCTGGAAAGTGGTCCAAGTAGGGAAATGGGAATGTAATAGAAGTATCTTATATTGGCACACAGTTGCACAGTTTTCAAAGCATGTTTACATAATTATCTCATTTACCCTCACACAACTCTGTAAGATAGATGTGGTGAGTGTTTGCACTCCCATTTTACTGATGAGCCAGTTGAGGTCAGAGGGTCTGTGACTTGCACAAGCAGTCTTTTGCCTCCAAGTCTCAGGCTTGCAGAAGCAGGTGTCCAGGGTGGACTGAGGCTGGAATGGAGCACCCCAACTAGACAGGCTGCAGCCCATGGCAGAGGGGGTTGGAGTTCTTCATGCCATCCTCACTTGGGGACACGTCCTCCCTTCAAAAGCTCTGTTGAGGGGCAAAGTACCATAACATCAAGCCATTTTTTTCTGGTTCCTATTCTAGAAGAGGAGCCCTGGTTGTGCAGTGGTTAAGTGTTTGGCTGCTAACCAAAAGGTCAGCAGCTTGAATCCACCAGCTGCTCTTTGGAAACCCTATGGGGCAGTTCTACTCTCTGCTATAGCGTATGAATCAGAATTGACTTGATGGCAATGTTTTTTTTTTTTT